GAGACAGCTGCAATAGTCCTGATGAGAGACGAGAGGCTGAGGTCATCCGAAGCGGCAGGCATGGAGAGGAGAGAAAGGCTTCCAAAGACAGTTCTGATGTTGGATGAGATGTGGCAGGGAGGGGAGAGGGAGCCAAGGCTGGCAGAGTTCTTACCTGGGAGACTGTTTGGATGGTAATACTGTCACCTGAGGTGAAGGTACGTTAACAGGAGTATATATTAAGGAAAAGTAATAAACTCATTTTTAAAAATTGTAATAAAAAATAAAAATTGTGGTAAATTACATATAACATACAATTTACCATTTTAATCATTTAAAATAGTATAATTTAATGGCATTAGGTACATTTAGAATGTTGTGCAATCATAACCTCTATCTAGTTCCATTATATACAATTCCTCACCTGAGGATATGCTTATTGATTATAGAGGGGGGAATGGGGAGAGAGAGAGAGAGAGAGAGAGAGAGAGAGAGAGAGGTTAGTTGTCTTCCACATGTGCTCCAACCAGGAATTAAACTCACAACCTAGGTATGTGCCCTGACCAGATTGGAATCTATGGAGCGCGTGCAGGAGGAAACCAATCTATGTGTCTCTCTCACATCGATGTTTCTCTCTCTCTCTCTCTCTCCCTCCCTCTCTCTCTCTCTCTCTCTCTCTCTCTCTCTCTCTCTCTCTCTCTCCCTCCCTCCCTCCCTCCCTCCTTCCTTCTGTCCCTTCAACTCTCTCTAAAAAACTCAATGGAAACAATATCCTTGGGCGAGAATTAACCAAAAAATCTATTTTTCAATTATAGTTGGCATACAATATTATTGGTTGCAGGCCTGTAACATAGTGATCAAACATTTATACCTAGTTTCTAACTATTATTAAAAAACTGTTTTTTCCTCTCTTCAACTTTTTTTCTATTTTTGCTTCATATATTTTGGGGTTCTATCGTTAAGTATGTATAATGCTTATAATTTTTTAAAATATATTTTATTGATTTTTTACAGAGAGGAAGAGAGAGGGATAGAGAGTTAGAAACATCAATGAGAGAGAATCATAGATCAGCTGCCTCTTGCACACCCCCCACTGGGGATGTGCCCGCAACCAAGGTACATGCCCTTGACCGGAGTCGAACCCGGGATCCTTCAGTCCGCAGGCTGACGCTATATCCACTGAGCCAAACTGGTTTCAGCTAATGCTTATAATTTTAATATTTTCATGAGAATTGACCCTTTCATCAATATATAATTCCTTCTGCTGAAACCGATTTGGCTCAGTGGATAGAGCATCGGCCTGTGGACTGAAAAGTCCCAGGTTCGATTCCGGTCAAGGGCATGTACTTTGGTTGCAGGCACATCCCCAGCAGGGGGTGTGCAGGAGGCAGTTGATGGATGTTTCTTTCTCATGGATGTTTCTAACTCTCAATCTCTCTCCCTTCCTCTCTGTAAAAAATCAATAAAATATATATATATATATATATATATATATATATATATATATATATATATATCTCCATCCTTCTTTGTCTCTTGAAATAATTTTTTACTCAAAGTTTATTTTGCCTGATATTAGCATAACCACTCACTTCTCTTTTGGTTACTATTTGCATAGAATATCTTTTTTTCTATCCTTTTACTTTCAACCTCTCTGTGCCTTTGGATCTAAAATCTCTTGTGAACAGCATATAATGTTTTCTTTTTCAAATCCATTTACATTTTATGTAATTACTGATAAAGAAGGACTTACTTCTGCTATTTGTTTTGGGTTTTTTTTTCCATCTGTCATATCCTCATTCCTCCATTATTATGTTTTAATATTTATTTAAATTTATTTTAGAAATGTACCATTTAAAAAATATTTTGTAAATCCTCACCTGAGGACGTTGTCTCATTAATTTTCAGAGAGTAGAGGGGGAGAACATCGATGTGAGAGAGACACATATATTAGTTGCCTCCCACACAGGGGATTGAACCGGAAACTGAGGTGTGTGCCTTGGATCAGAATTGAACGTGGACCCTTCAGTCCATGGGCCAGCGCTCTGTCCACTGAGCCAAACTGGCTAGAGCAATACTGTACCATTTTGACTCCCTTTTCATTTTTCTGTATATTTTATCATCTTTTTCTGATGGTTACCTTCAGAATTATAATTATCATTTCAAAATAATAACAATCTATTTTTAATTAACACCAACTTGTCTTCAATACTACACAAAAACTCTGTTCCTATACAGCACTGTCCCTCCCCTTTTATATTGTTATTGTCACAAATTATATATTTATACATTGTGTATTTATTAAAATAGATCTATAATTATTGTTTTTGCATTTGTCTTTTAAGTCCTATAGGAAAAAGAATTACAAAATCTAAAATACATTACTGACATTTGTACTTTACATAAATTTCAAGTAAAAGTGCCCCTTTACTTAAGCCTGAAGGACTCCCTTTAGCATTTCTTATAGGACAAGTCTAGTAGTAATAAACTCTCTCAGCTTTTGTTTATGTGGGAGTTTTAATTTCTTCTTTAATATTGGACAATTTTGCGAGATATAGAATTTTTGGTTGACAGAGTTTTCTTTCTGCACTTAAGTATGTTATCCCACTGATTTCTAACCCCTGTGACTTCTGATGAAATATTGGCATTTTTCTTATTGAAAAATCCCTTGTACATTACAAGTTACTTCTCTTTTGCTGCTTTCCAGATTTTCTGTTTAGTTTTGGGTCCTGACAGTTTGTTTATAATGTGTCAGTGTGGGTTCTGAATTTATCCTACTTGGAGTTTATACTATTTGAAGTTTGTTGAGCTTCTTGTAATGTACATGTACTCCTTTTTAAAAAAATTGATTCAGCCCAAACCGGTTTGGCTCAGTGGTAGAGTGTCCGTCTGCGGACTGAAAGGTCCCAGGTTTGATTCCAGTCAGGGGCATGTACATTGGTTGCGGCACATCCCCAGTAGGGGGTGTGCAAGAGGCAGCTGGTTGATGTTTCTCTCTCATCGATGTTTCTAGCTCTCTATCTCTCTCCCTTCCTCTCTTTAAAATCAATAAAATATATTTTAAAAATAAATAAATAAATAAATAAATAAATTGATTCAGAGAGGAAGGGAGAGGAAGAGAGAGAGAAAACCAATGATAAGAGAGAATCATCACTTGGCTGTTGTGCCCTTTGATGCACAGAAGTTTTAAATTCTGATGTAGTGCAATTTATCTATTTTATCCTTTTGTTGCCTGTGTGTTTTTGGTGTCATATCCAAGAAATCATTGCCAAATCCAATGTCATAAAGGTTTCCCATATGTTTTCTTCTAAAAGATTAATAGTTTCAGCTCTTACATTTAGTTTTTGCATGAATTTTGAAATAGCTTTTGTATATGTTGTAAAAGTAAGGGTTAAACCTCATTTTTTTGTACACGGATATCCAGTTTTCCCAACACCATTTGTTCAATAAGACTATTTCCCCCCCACAGAATGGCGCCCTTGTAAAATGTCAATTGACAGTATCTGGGAGGATTTTGTGCTATAAACCTGTGGAGGTGATGATGGTACAGACACAGGAAGCCTCAGGAAAGCTGACTGCCAGATTCTGTTGCAGCAGTGTCTGTCCTGGGCTGGCTTTGTGCTCAGTGAACACTGGGCTCGTGTTTTACCACAGTGTCTCAGCTTCCCACCCACCCAACCACTGAGGTGTGCAGAAAGGTCCTCTTGAAGAGGATAAACTCAGTCCCCAGAAGAGCTTGGTTTGTGCAGCGGCAGAGTCAGGGTTTGAACACAGGTTTCTGGCTCTCTGCGCCCGTTATTTCACCTAAGACGGACCTCGGCAGTCCTTAGCTATAAAGTGTGGGCAGGACTGAAGTGAGACGGTATCCATGGCAGCTTGTAGGACCCTTACATGAAGAGTCACTAAAAGCCAGGGCTAACCAGACGTAAAGGGGGCAAATACAGTTATCAAGCTGCAAAGAGTCCTGCCCGCCTGGAAGGCCCGCGTCCCGGACCCGCCCCACCGCGGGGCGGAGCCAAGTCCTCCGTGGCCTGGGCGTGGTTGGGCTGTGCCACTGGCGCGGGGGGGATCCGAGCGGCAGGAAAACGCAGGCGGCCGGAACCGCGATGGCGTGCCCTGACGGCCCCCGCGGAAGGGGACTCAGAGTTCTAATAATGCCTTCAGAGCTCGTCCCCTCGCCGCTTTCCCGTCGCCCACCTCCCGCGGGGTTGGTTCCTCCCGTAGCCCCCTCACTGCAGTTCCTCTTGGTACGGCCCTCCCCGGATTGGAGGCGAGGCGCTGCCGGCGCGCGCTCTGCGCATGCGGACCCCGCCGCGGGGGCTGGGGGCGCGGACCCCGCCCTTCCACGGCTCCACGCGTGACGTCGCCGGGGGCGCGGGCCTCCGCCGGCTCGGAGCGGTGAGAACGGGCGGAGGGCGGCCCGGCGCTGCTAGACCCGGAAGGGGTGTCGTGCAGAGTTCATGCAGGGGCGCTGGGGAAGGGGAGGCCCGGGCACCACCAGCCCCGACCCGCAGGCTGCCCTCTCCTTCCTGCTTCCCCCGCTTTCCCACGAACCGGGAGGGAGGCGGAGCCGGGGCGAGCACTGCGACCCCGGCGTTTGCCCGGCGCGCTCCTCCCTCCCCGCAGCCCCTTTCCAGATGTTCCTCTGCACCAGGCGGTCGCTTCTCGCCCGGGAAAGAGCACTCCTTGGGCTTCCGACCTGTGCCACACGGTTCCTATGTTCAAGTCCACCAGCCTCAGTTTCTGCCTTGCCTCGCTCGCCTTTTGTGGAGATAAATATGACACAGAAAGAAAAAAAAAATAGGAAAGAAATGGACATTTGTTGAGTTCCTGCATGGCCAAGTATAAAGCAAACCGCTTTATCTGCCACGTTTAGTCCTGGTTACATGGGTCAGAGCTCCCATTTCACATGTTCTCAAACTCCCCAAGTTAGGCTGGTTTTTCTCACACAGCCACGGAAGGGCAGAGGAGGATGCAAGCTGAGCAGTTTAACTCCAAAATGGGTTTCTTTTCGCCAGAGACGTCCTTTGGGCTACTATTGGCTGTTCTGCAGCCAAACCCTAGGCCCAGAGCAGCTGTTTCCTGAATTTCTACTTTTAAGAATTCTCCTTCTCGCTTCCCTTTTCCAGCACAGTATGCCCTCCTCTTCCGCCTTGATTATTTCAGAAATGGAAATGCAGCAGACATTTGTTGAGTGGCACAGGGAGGTGGACACTCGGAGTCAAGAGCCTTAGATTCTCGTCCTGGCTCTGCCTCTGTCTGTGGTCGCAGGCGCGGCCCTTGTCTCCTTGGTGCTTTAGCTGCGCTTTGAGTAAAGATGGGTAAGTGCCTTCTGACGGGCAGGCTCCAGTCCAGTTTTCCCTTCCTGTCCTCCAGCAGGTTTCCCGTGGAGGCCCAGACCCCTCTGCTCCCCATGGGCAGCTGTCAGGCAGGGCACAACCTGCATCTCTGTCTGGCCCACCACCCACCTCTGGTCTGTGCCACTTTGATCCTGCTGCTGCTTGGCCTTTCTGGCCTGGGCCTCGGTGGCTTCCTCCTCACTCACAGGACTGGCCTGCGCAGCCCTGACATCCCTCAGGTGAGTACCCTCCTGCTCATCTGCCCCAGGGAGGCCTGCTCTTGCTGCTGACCTCTCACCTCTCTCCCGCCTTCCTTTTGCACACAGGACTGGGTCTCCTTCTTGAGGTCTTTTGGCCAGTTGACCCTGTGCCCTACGACCGCGACAGTCACAGGGACGTGGCATGGGTCCCACGTTGTGGGCTTGCTGACCACCTTGAACTTCGGAGATGGTCTGGACAGGAACAAGACCCAGACATTTCAAGCCACGGTCCAGGGTAGTCAGATGGGATTGAAAGGTGAGATGGAGGACTGGGGGTTGGGCCTCTGAACTCGCCAGCCTGGTGACCTTCGGCATATCCCTTAGTCACTTCTACTGGAATCAGGACTAGGTACTTAGAGTGAAAACCATGCCCACTGTGTAGGTTCTCCATAAATGTTTTTTCTCTCCTCTTCTAGCTCTGGGATGCTTTGATTCTATCCTTGGAGGTGTGATGAGATGGGCTGAATTTGGCCTAATGTTCTTTGTCCTCCCTCTTCATTCCTCCAGCCTTCTCATAGAGGCAGCTCTTTCCTCAGGGATGTCCAGGAAGCACGATCTGTTCAGTTGAACTAAAGTCTTTAGTGCCTGCTGTGTGGGTAACACAGCTCTATGTGCTCTGGAGGATACAGAAAAAAATTAGACATCACCCAAAGCATTTAAAGTCTTCTGGGAAAATAGTGAGTGAGAGTGAGTTGGTGGGTTCCATTGATTTCTGTGTGAGATTTGGCCTCAGGTTCCTTATCTAAAAACTTGGGAGATGGCCCGACTGATGTGGCTCAGTGGTTGAGTGTCGGCCTATGAGCCAGGAGGTCACAGTTCATCACACCTCACAGTTCAGTTCCCCATCTGGGTCGGGGCACATGCTCAGGCTGCCGGTTTGATTCCCCAGTAGGGGGTATGCAGGAGGTAGCGGATCAGTGATTCTCTCATCATTGGCGGTTCTGTTTCTCTCTTTCCCTTCCTCTCTGAAATCATTAGAAATATATTTAAAAATAAATAAAATAGAAAACTGGTCGATGGGTTTCTCTCACATCGATATTTCTGTCTTTCCCTCTTCCACTCTCTCTAAAAATCAATGTGGGGTGGGCAGGGAAATATCCCTGGGTGAGGATTAAAATAAATAAATAAATAGGAGTGACTTCTGAGGTCCTTTTCAAAACTATGATTCTAAGATTCTCCTATGAATCACATATGTGTATCTATGTGGGGTAGGTCTTTGTATGTCTCCGTATACATCTGTGTGATCAAAGAGCAAGAATACAGGAATGTATCTGACACAGAATAGTATTATTGAGAAATGACTCACATGCCATAAAATTCATTTCAAATGTACAATTAAATGATTTTACACATATTCACAAAAGTGTGCAGCCATCATCACAATTTTAGAACATTTTCATTACCAGATAAATTCTGTACCTATTAGCAGCCATTCCCCTTTTCCTCCTAGGCAACCACTAATCTGCTTACTGTCTGTAGATTTGCTTATTCTGGACATTTCATATAATAATGGTCTTTGTGACTGGCTTCTTTCGCTTAGCATTATGTTGTAGTACATATCAGTATTTATTTCCTCTATTAGTATTCACTGTATGACTATTACACATTTTATTTGTGCACTCATCATTTAATTGACATTTGGGTTGTTTCCACTTGACTGTTATGAATAATGCTGCTGTGAACAGTCATGTACAAGTTTCTGTGTGATCATATATTTTTATTTCTCTTGGGTGTATAACCAGGAGTGGAATTGCTGGGTCATATGGTAACTCTGTTTAATCTTTTAAGGAACTGCCAGAGTATTTTCACAGTGGCTCTGCCATTTTATACTCCATCAGCTGTGTATGATGGTTCCATTTCTCCACATCTTTTCAGCACTTGCTATTATCTGTCTTTTTTATTATAGCTCTCCTATGTGAAGTAGTGTCTCACTGTAATTCTGATTTGGATTTTCCTGGTGGCTAATGATATCGAGAATTTTTTCATGTGTTTATTGGCCATTGGCATATTTTTTGAGAAATATATATTCAGAGTCTGCTCATTTTTAAAATTGGGTAATTTGTCTTTTAATTTAGTTGTAAGCTTTCTTTAGATAAATAACTTTCAATGTGTGCAGTGGGAGTAATCAGAAGTCTGTCAGCATGGATGGTGAAGACAGGCTTTTCCAAGGATACGGTGCCTGAGCTGAGGTTGAGGCAGGCCGATAAGGATGTGCTTCCAGCCAGAGGGAAGAGCATTTGCAAAGACATACAGATGGGGGACCATGATGGCACGTTCAGAAGCTTCCAAGGGTTCAGTTTGGCCGGCACGGGAAGGATTCCTGAGTGTGGCAGGCAATGAGCCTGAAGCAGCATTCAGAATCCATGGAGGGGTTCACGTGCCAAGCCAAGGCAGTTGGGCTTCGTTTAGTACATTGGGCAAACTCAATGATTTTAATCGGGAAAAGAAGACTTTGTTTTTGTGTTGTCCTTTTAAAAAGATAATACTTGTTGGCTGACTGCCAGGAAGGACTGTGGATTCAGGAAAACTAGTTGGGAAGTGATTGCAATAAAAAGATGAGAAAAACTGAGTTAAGACAGTGCTGTGAAAGAAGGGGACTGATTTGAGGGAGATGTTAGAAGTGTGAGATTGACAGGACTGGGTGACTGATCTGGGGAACACGGAAGAAGGGGGAGTTCCCTTATAGAATTTTACATGTACATTTCTCAATTGTAATTACAATATATATACTGGTTTGATTTTTTAAAATCTTTATTTTATTTTTACAGAGAAGAAGGGAGAGTGATAGTTAGAAAATTTGATGAGAGAGAAACATCAATCAGCTGCCTCCTGTACACCTCTTACTGAGAATGTGCTCTCAACCAAGGTACATGCCCTTGACTGGAATCAAACCTGGGATCTTTCAATCCGCAGGCTGATGCTCTATACACTGAGCCAAACTGGCTACAGCATCATTTTTACCAATTTAATGAGCAAAGAAATTACTTTTTTAAATTTACTTTGTCCTGATTAATAGTGATGTTGCATATCTTCTTACAAGTTCACCGTTTTCATGTTTTCTCTGAACTTCCTATTCACTTTCTTAGCTTATTTTTTGTTGTCTTTATCTTCTTGAGTTTTAGGTCTTTATATATTCTGGATAGTAAACCTTTTGCCAATTAAATCTATTATAGGTATTTTAACCAGTCTGTTTCTTGTGTATGTTTTAAAAAAAATATTTTTATTGATTTCAGAGAGGAAGAGAGAGAGATAGAAACATCAATAAGTGAGAATCATTGACTGGCTGCCTCCTGCACACTCCCTGCAGAGGATGGAGCCCACAACCTGTGCATGTGCCCTTGACTGGACTTGAACCCGGGACCTTTCAGTCTGCAGGCCCCTGGGTAAGGATAACACGCAAATTTGTGAAGTGTTATCAGTTGTCCACTGAGTCAAAGCAGCTAGGGCTCGTGTGTGTGTGTGTGTGTGTGTGTGTGTGTGTGTGTGTGTTTTAATATGGAACACTTCACGAATTTGCGTGTTATCCTTACCCAGGGGCCATGCTAATCTTCTCTGTAGCTTTCCAATTTTAGGATATGTGCTGCCAAGCGAGCACTCTTGTGTGTGTGTGTTTTTTAAACTTACCTTTCATTATATAGAAGTCTTCAATTTGTTAGAAGATTAAGTTTATTGCTCTTGTTCTTTACTCAGGCTTTTATTTTTTTATTTTAAAATATATATATTTTATTGGTTTTTTACAGAGAGGGAGAGAAAATTAGAAACATCGATGAGAGAGAAACATCAATCAGCTGCCTCCCACACACCCCGCCCTGGGGATGTGCCCGCAACCAAGGCACATGCCCCCGACTGGAATCAGACCTTGGACCCTTGAGTCCGCAGGCTGACGCTCTATCCACTGAGCCAAACCGGTCAGGGCTTTCCTCAGGCTTTTAGATTTTGTGACATTTTTAGCAAGGGTTTCCCAACTTTAAAATTAGAAAATATTCTCCCATATTTTTTTTTAATACTTAGGTTTTTGTTTCATTTTAATTAGTTTGTTTGTATAGGTATTTAATATATCTGGGCTTAATTTTATAGTGTGAGATAAGAGTCTAACCTTTTTTCACAAATGGATTTGTCCCAAGGTCATTGGCTGGATAGGCTATTTTCCCGCTAATTTGAAATGGGATGTGAACCTTTTCTGTTGTGTTGTTAGTCTTTACCTGAGGATATTTTTTCCAGTGATTTTTAGAACGACTGGAATGGGGGGTGGGGGAGAAACATCAATGTGAGAGAGACACATGGATTGGTTGCCTCCTGCATATACCCCACCCGGGGCTGGGAAATCAAACCTGCAGCCCAGGTATGTACCCTTGACTGGGAATCGATCCCATGTCTCTTGTATGTGGGCCAAAGCTCTAACCACTGAGAAACACAAGGCAGGGGGGATGTGAACCTTAATGGATTTTCATACCTAGTGGAAATAGCTTTCTTAAAAAAGGATGAACTAGTTTATACAAACTGACATTGACAGTGTGTATCTCTCCCAGGTTCACTGCTACCTCGTAAATACTGATGTGTTTGTTTTGTTGGTTGTAAGCTAATTTAAATTAATTTTTATTTATATTAGTACTTAGTTATTTTCATTTTTAAATTATGTAAATGATGGTGTATAGAGTACTTTACTGACTAGAACCAGTGCTAACACACCTGGAACTGCAGGAAGCCTTTGAAATGAACAGAAGTCTGAAAAGGGATGGCTCCCACCTGACCCTTCATGTTCTTCCTTCTCCTCTCCCATGCTTCTCTTAGGGTCTTCTGCAGGAGAGCTGGTCCTCATCACAGCCAGGGTGGCCACAGAAAGGACCTGCCTGTATTTTAGTGCTGCCCCAGGACTCCTGCCCTCCAGCCAGCCACCCATCTCCTGCTCAGAGGAAGGAGTAGGAAATGCCACCCTGAGCCCTAGGATGGGTGAGCACTGTGTTGGGGTCTGGAGCCAGGAAGGCCTTGTGCTCACCAAACTGCTCACCTCGGTAAGAGCTTCAGGTTGTCATAGACTTCCATGCTGCGCACTATATCCTGAAGGCAAATTTTTCATTTTATTTTATTTTTATTTTTGAGGAGAGAGAAAGGGAGAGAGAGAGACACGTCAGTGTGAGAGAGATACATCGATTGGTTGCCTCCTGTACGGGTCCCAATCAGGATCAAACTTGAACCTGCGATCTTCTGGTGCAAGGGAGAATGTTCCAACTAACTGAGCCACACCAGCCAGGGCTTGAAGGCATTTTGCTTAGTAGATCAAACATAGGCTTTGTAATACTGGCTGGGAGGCTGTGCCCTTGAACAAGTCTCTCTGAGCCTCAGCTTCTCACCTGTAAAATGGAAAGCATGACACTGTCGCCTAATTCCAACAAATAAATGAGAATGAGTGTAAAGTACTTAGTACAGTGTCTGGTACATAATAGAAATTTGATAAATGACAGTTATTACTATTGACTATGTCTTTAAATAACAATAAAACATGACCTCTACCTCAAAGGAATTCAGAAGCTGGACAAGAGGCAGAATAAACTAATTGTTAGCATAGAGAGATGAGTGAAGTATTATTCAAACAGATTAAGGAGCAGTTGACTCTAACCTGAACATTTTTAGAGAGTGTTTCACGGAGATGGTGGCATTTAAGAAAGGGAATTGCGTACAGTAGTTTATAACATACGGAGTGCTTTCAGATTCATTATCTCACTTAAAATATCCTTTTGAGGCAGCTGTTATCCCATTTTACAGATGAGGAAACAGGTTCAGAGAAAGGGAATAAATTGCCCAAGGCCACACAACTACTTAAGCAGCAGATGCAGGATTTCAACCTAGGCTTTCCGACTCTTAAGTCCCAGGCTTGTTCTGCCCTGTCAGAGTGATTGATCCCTGAAGAATGAGGAATATTTGGGCAGATAATGCACTAGAGGGGGTTCAAGAAAAAGAAATACATTCCAGGCATAAGAGACCAGCATGAGCTTGGGCCTAGAGACTGAAAAGTGATGGGGGCCTGAGGAATGACGGGGGAAGAGGCAGGAGAGATGCAGGAGCCTGACCGTGAGGCACTGCAATGCCGGGCCAGGATGCTGTGACCTGGCACTGCAGGCCAGGGGGCCCCCGGTGCTGATGGAGGAGACTGGCCGAGTGCAGGAGAGACAGTGAGGAGGCTGCCGCATGCTCTTCCCTCACATTTGAAGACACCCGGGCCAGGAGCATCACCTGGCAGCTTGGAATCAGAGATCTTGGTTTCCAGACCTGGCCCTGCTTGCATGTTTTTAAAATGTGGATAATAGTGAAATCTCATAGAGTCATTATCAGGGGGTTCAATGTTGGGCAAGAAAGCAGTTTGAAGACCACGCATACGATTAGCTTGTATAGAAATAACATTTCCCTTTAGTTGCTCCCTGAATGTGGAGAGGTCTTTTCTCCATGGAGGCTTCTCTCCATAGCCTTGGGCTGGGGGTGAGATGTCTTCCTAAGGGAAGATTCTCTGTCTTCCCTCTGTCTCATTCATTTCTCCTTTCCTCCCTGTGCCCACCCCTAGGAGGAGCTGGCTCTGTGTGGCTCCAGGCTGCTTGTGTTGGGCTCCTTCCTGCTTCTCTTCTGTGGCCTTCTTTGCCTTTTGACTGCTGTGTGTTTCCAGCCTCGGCGGGAGTCCTACTGGTCTAGAACCCGGCTCTGAGAGCACGGTCTGGTTCCTGTCTTGTTCTCAGGTAAGTTTCTTTGCCCCAGTCCTGTGAGAATAGGGGGTGGGGAGGGAGTGGGAATTGTAACTGAGATAGAGTCATTCCTAAACAATATGATTTGGTTTTACTTATTTTTGAACTTTATAGAGATGGGATCCTACATATTCTTCTGTGACTTCTTTCCATTAACAGTTCAATAATAAGATTCACCCATAGATCTGGCTCACATCCAAGAAGCTTTTTGGTAACAATGGTGAATTAAGAGGGTTCAGATATGATGTGTCCTGGATATGAATAATGTTTGTCTTGCTTTTGGGCTGAAATTCTGATATCCAGTTTTATGACTCAAATTTTGTAAAAGTCATCCTGAACAGCTCACAAGAATTGATTGATGATGTCTGTTGCTAGGCACATACCATGTGCCCGTGCACTTTCTCTTTTCCATTAGCCGTCATTGCCTTTAGAGAAAGTTGATTCTGCTAACAGAGACTTTGGAGGGGCATAGCCCCACAAAAGTAGCAGTGAGTGGGAAACATATTGGCTAACTAGTTTGTGTATCAGCTCATTGAGGGGGAAAAATATTTCTGAAAAATATTCTCACCCTGGTAGGTGGTTCTCATACTATTTGAGAGTCATACATTCTGTATCCAGTTCTTAAACTGCTCTCGGCTTCAGCTGGCTGCAAGGACATAACCGTGGGAATAGTAGAAACAGCATAAGCAAAGGGAAGGGCCAGAGAAATGGAACATTCAAGATCAACTTAGCTTATTTTGCTTAGGGCTGTGCCTGACTACTTCAGCCACCTACTTGAGGCAGGAAATGAGGCTCCCGAGATGCCAGGCTAAGATGCTCTGACTTAACTCTTGTGCAGGCCATGGGGCCACCTGTGCTGATGGAAGAGACTGGCTGAGTGGAGGAGAAAGACCAGCCCTTCCTTAGACTGGAAAAGGATACTTCCTGGGGTCTCAGGCCATCCCAATTGGGAGAAGTGCTTGTACCTATCTCTAGTTGTCACTTCCTCAGTTCTCTCCTCAATTTCTGCAGCAATTCCAGAGCTTCCCCCAAGGGCTCTCTCATCTGCTCTGTTTTTTATTTTTATTTTCTTTCTCTCCAGGTGTGAATCAACTTCTTGGGCCTTGGCTCTGAGTTGGAAGAGATATTACGGAAAGTGGAGAGCAAAAATGTGGGGGGAAATAAAATGATTTTTTTTATTTTTATTTTTGCTCAATGCTGCCCAGTGTGTTTATTGGGAATTAGATGAGGTGGGAGTTTTAAGAGAAGGCTGGTTTGGGAGGTTTAGGGTTTTTTTCCTTATTGATATTTAGTTTAGAATACAGGTTGTCATAGGGCCTGGGTCACTGCAGCCATTCCCAGGGTTGTCCCTCAGATTTGCAAAACACCTGGTTTTGATCCCAGCTCTGCCACCTTGTGCCTGTGAAATAATTTCAGCAAGTTGAGTCAGGAGGGTTTAGTCACGTAAAAGGCCTCAGTTTGCTGAAAGGATTTGACAGATTACCCACCAAAGACTCCTCAAACTTGGTGGCTCGTGGCCAGGCTGTCGGGTTACTAACCTGAACAGCCCACATTCCCGCCTTTTCCGCGCCACACACCAGCCTCCCTTCACCCCTCCCGGGATCTGCCCCGCACGCAGGCGCCGACCGCGTCTTTTTCCTTCCGCCCGCGCCCCCTCAGAGCTTCCCCTAGCAACAAGCTCCCCGCTGAGGCGGGCGGACGCATGCGCCGCAGCGCCCTCCACCGCCAGTCGTCGGGAGGCGCCGGACTCCACCCTCTCCCCGTCCGACCCTCCTCCCGCCGCCCGCCCGGTCCGCGTGGCGGGGCGCGTGCGCACTCCGGCCCGGAGCCGCGGGTCTCCAGGCCACGGCGGTCAGGAGAGGGGCGGGCCCCGGAGGAAGCGGCCCCGCCCTCCTCGGCCGGGCGTCCCCGCGGCGCCTGCGCGCTCCCGCCCGGTCTCCATCTTGGAATTGGGAGGAAGAGGGAGAGGGAGACCGGGACGAGACCTGGGTTGTGGTGCGGCGAGAAGCTGAGACCGAAGAGGAGAGGGAGAGAGGGCGCCGGGCTGCCCCTAGCTACCACCTTTCGGCTCCCCGCAGGAGAGAGGGGGAGAAGGGGAGGAGGCCGGGGCGGGAGAGGGGCTGTCACCCTCCGACCCTGACGTGCGAGGGGCCATTTGGCCGGACGTCCTAGGGGTGGGCGCCCTGTCGGCGGCCGGAGACCTGGGGCTCTGGTGCTTCAGCCCTGGATTTCCGGGCTTGACCCCTCGTTTCTCAGAGACCCGGGTATTAGCCCCACAGATTGCAGGTACCCGCGGCTTGGGTCCCCACCTCTCTAAAGCTGGGGTCTTATTTTGCAGGGCTTCCTATATCTGGGGTTCGGGGCCCTGCGGGCACCAGTATCCGGGGTTTATTCCCCACGCGATCAGATATCAGGTTAGCTGCCCCCGTTCCGGTACCTGGGGTTCAGACCCCGCGGGCAGAAACCCGGGACTCCGCAGCTGTCGCCCTCGAGGAGGAGGACTGGACCGCGAGGTCAGGCCGGGCTGTCACCCCTTCCCCTCCCGGGGAGGCTTCCCGGGCCCGCCCCTCGGGGAGGGAGGCAGCCGAGGAGGAGGTGGCGAGGGGAGCGGTCTCCTTGCCCCTCTCCCAGCTTGGCGGAGCCGCTGGAGGACCCCAGGAGGAGTCGGAAGCGCTGGGGCACCATAGTGACCCCGACCAGGTGAGACACGGGTGCAGGGACGCGGGTCCCTGTGTCCAGGATTGAGAAGAAAGGGTGCTCCTTTCTCGCAGCTGGGCCTGGGCAGGCCCTCGCCTCAGGATGGGGAAGCCCAGCTGGGCCAGTGGTCAGCCTCCGGCTAGCCCAGCCTTCTGCTGCCACCCTCTTCCCCTTTCTCGTCCCTTCATTACGTCTGTCTGATGGGGGGCCTCAGGTGACAGGGTCTCTGATGTCACCAGGCTTCACGCCCTGGGTGTGGGAGCTGATCAGATGGGTTTGCACCCTTCTGATCTTCCCGGTTACCTTTGCCCCCCACAAATACCTCCTCTCCACTGTTATAACCCTGTTAGCTGGTTGGTCGGGGGTGTTGATCCCCACGGTTGGTCTGCTTTTCTGTTTTTTAGGCATGGCCTGGTTGGGTCTCTTGTCTTTTCAAGGAAGTGTGTGTGTGTGTGTGTGTGTGTGTGCATTTGGGTTTGGCTGTGCCTGGTAATATTTCCCCAAGCCGTATCGTATAAATCTCATACATTGTCAGCGATCTATCATTAACCAAGTGTTTTACACCCATTATCTCATGGGACCCCCTTCACCCTTTTAAAAAATATATGTGTTTTTATTGATTTTTAGAGAGAGAGAAAGAGATAGGGAGAGAGAAAAACGCCGATGTGAGAGCAAAGCACATGCGAGGGAAGCACCTATAGGCTGCCTCCTGTGTGCCCCCCACTGGGTACTGAGCCACAACCAGGGCATGTGCCTGTCCAGGAGTTAAACTGGCAACCTTTTGTTTCCACACTGCTGGGGCCTCCTTTGTCCTTTTACTGCTATCTCCCCATTTTACAGTTGAGAATATTGAGGCCCAGAGAGGTTGCCCAAGGTCACTCAGTGGCAGAATGAGGATTTGAGTTGTGGTAAGATTTAAGGATGGGAGGAAGAGAGTTTCCTTTTTTAGGAGGGCTGTCCTCGGAAGCTTTTCCAGAGAGGAGGCTCTGGCTCCTACCTTCCGCCTCATGGGTTTTCTCTCCACTCTGACCTTCAGCTTTACTGTGATCCCCGCCTTTGGCCGAGGCTCCCGAGAGGGCCCTCTCTTCTGACAGTGATCGCTACCGTGGTGTCTCAGTAGTTAGAGCCAGGGTGCTGGGGTAGGATGTCCCCAAAGGATTCAAACCTTGTGGTGACCCTGGCGGCGTGAAAGGAAAAATCCATATGCCAAATGTCTGCAGAGTGTTCCTAAGTATGGGATCTCATTAAAAATTTCACAACAGCCCTCTGCTGAAATTCATCTTACTGAGAAGACCAGGTATAAGGCCCTTACCAAAGCCCTGTTGCAGATTGAGGATGAAATTACTACTGGTAGTATAGGGGTGGACATGCTTGGATTCCCTCACCTGCAGAAGGGGGCTGATTTAGGTGGTTATGATTTAGCACAGATCTTGGTCGTCGTTCAAATGTTCGATGTTGTTTGAGGAAGAGGCCCCACGTCATGTGGCCTAGGGTTCTGTGTTGGCATTCTTGGTTGAGAGCTGGTAAAGAGGTCAAGAAGATTCCTTTGGCAAGTTCTGAGCTCCTGCCTTTGTGTGTGGTTATGTGGTTGGGGTGAGGGGTGCTTTGAGCAGCCTGGGAGCTGCTGAGGGCAGTCCGTCATCTCCCAGGCTATTCTGCACCCCCTGCACCCTGGGGACCCACTAGAGTGAGCTGGGCTTGCTCCTTGCCCACCGGCTTCCAGTGAGCTGAGGAGACAAAATTAACAGCACAGTAGGAAGCACTGCATGACAGTGTAATTACCTGCTGGATGGCAGGCTCTCCACGGAGCTAGAACTCTGCCCTGGGAGTCCAGCTCCTCTGAAGGCTCCTTTGTGCCCGAATTCCAACAAGTGCTTAGTCAGGAGTTTGGCCTGGATTCCCCTTGTGGGTGTGGGGGTCTTGGCTTTGATGCTGGAGTTGCTCTGGATGTTTGCCTGGGTGCTCCAGCAGTTCTCCCTGAGCACCCAGTGATCAGGGAGAGCTTCCTGTAGGAGGGAGCTGAGCTGGTAGTGAGTTGCTGAGAGTTATGAGCGCACATGCCTGACTGGCCTGACTGGAGAGGAGGAGGTCCTGCTCTCTGACCTTGGAGAAGTCCTCTTTCCTTCCTGTGCCTCAGTGACCTCCTCTGTGAAATGGGGTCATGATCCTGCGCTGCTTATTTCACAGTGCTGTTTTGGGGGAGTCATTTAACCTTCCTGAGCCTGTTTCCTCATCTGCAAAACAAGGGTACTAGTAATAACCTCGTAAGGTTGTGTGTGGTGAGGATTGGATGAGAGGAAATGCATATAAGGTATTGCTACATATGCTCAATAAATGTTATTGTCCATCGTAAATGCCCTGTACCTGTGTGTGATGCCTATGCAATTGGGCTGGACAAAAAAGAGCCCAGATCTCAGAGAGGCCCCCAGTACCATTCCTCTCCCTGTCCTCCTGCCTTAGATCTCCCGGCCAGTGTCCCTGGCCCTTTTTGAGAATGAGTCTTCTGGCCCCTCTGGGCCAGTACCCACGTCTAACAATGGCCGGATTTCCACTGCCTCCGGCCTGGCCATTTCCTGCTCTCTCTCAGAGTGTGAGAGGGTGAGGGAGGAGGGGGCCTCTCAGAGGAATGGGAAGGTGTCTGGAAATTTGGATTGTGGGACTTGTGGGACACGGCACTTGGTGATTTGGGGATCTGGCTGGGAGGCAGAATCTTTTATTCTTGAAGGAGGAAGTAGGGGTTATAGGGAAATGGAACTTGTTAAGGTGTGAGGAGGGTGGTAAGAATGCTTAGCTCGTCTTCCTAGCTGTGTTAGGGACTCTGGCCCTGTGGCCCATGCTTTGATTCCCAGGGCAGATTCTTTTTTTCTTTTTTTTTTCTTTTTTTACTTTTTTTGAGCTTTGATGTTGTTCCTAATCTCCCCAACCCTTCCTCACCAGTGCCTCCCCCTCCACAGGGAACTAGGGAAGGAGAAGGCAGAAACTTGAGAGTTCCCTTCCTTCTCTGAGAGCCCCACCCTTGGTCCCATTTCCATCCTCCAGGTCAGGCCCCACGCTCAGGGCCCTCAGGGGCCACCATGCCAGCTGGGAGCCGGGCTGGGAGCCTGAAGGACCCTGATGTGGCTGAGCTCTTTTTCAAGGATGACCCTGAAAAGCTCTTCTCTGACCTTCGGGAAATTGGCCATGGCAGCTTTGGAGCTGTGTACTTTGTGAGTTGGGGCTTGGGAGGGGTAGGGCAGGGATGGGGACTGCATTCTTACCCCCTCCACTGCCCCTTCCCCCCATGGACTTCCACCTTCTGGTCTGGTCGTCTAGGCCCGGGATGTCCGGAATAATGAGGTGGTGGCCATCAAGAAGATGTCCTACAGTGGGAAGCAGTCTAATGAGGTGGGTCAGACTTAACAAGAACGGGTCGGGAGTAGGAGACCCATATCAAGATGCAGACTGAGTAAGTCTCTCCTCCCCTGACGCCTCCCAGAAGTGGCAGGACATCATCAAGGAGGTTCGGTTCCTACAGAAGCTGCGGCATCCCAATACCATTCAGTACCGGGGCTGTTACCTGAGGGAACACACGGCTTGGGTGAGCTGGCCCCTGTCTCTGGCCTGATCTCTGCCCCTCTCAGGCCCATCCTTACCTTGGTCTAGTCTCTTAGGTGGGCTCTATTCGGAGTGCTGGTGTGGGATCTTGGGAAGGAGTGAGTCTCTCCCAGCCTTCTTATTTCTCAGACAAAGCCATGAGCAGCAGAGTCCGCCCAGAAGGAGAGGCTGGTTTGAAGGGTGAAATGACTATTAGCAGTTGGAACAAGGGCACATGGGTTGGAAGACCTGGAGATCGGAGCTTTGAAGGGATGGAGGTGGGAGAGGCTCTGACTCTAGGGACTCTCCACACCCCCTCATTTTCTCAGTTGTCCTTCCTCCCTGTCATTACCCTCGGGGCATTGCCTGAGTGGAGGATAGAGCCAGGAAGCTCTCTATTTTGGATCTCTGCCCAAGAGAGATGGGCCAGGGGTGGCCAGTTCTGCTGATCTCTGACCCTTGACCCTTCCTTAGCTGGTGATGGAGTATTGCCTGGGCTCAGCCTCTGACCTTCTAGAAGGTGAGTAACTCTGTCCAACAAGTGGGAGAAGGGAGAAGAGCAGAGAAGCCGTAGGGGGAGGGCTAAGGGAAGCTTGTTCCAGGCCCACCCGTGGGCTCCCGCAGCTTGATGTTTTCCGCTCACTCCTTAGTGCATAAGAAGCCCCTCCAGGAGGTGGAGATTGCAGCTGTGACCCACGGGGCCCTTCAGGGTCTGGCTTATCTGCATTCCCACAACATGATCCATAGGTACAAGCAGCACGGATGGCTGGGAGGTGGGGGAGTGCTCGCTACACCGCTCTGCATTTAGCTGGGCCACAGCCTTCTTGGAACTTGGTGCCGTAGCCCCCACTCAGCCTTCCTAAGATGCATGTCTTGTTCCTGCGCTTTGCTTCCTTGGCAGGGATGTGAAGGCTGGAAACATCCTGCTCTCAGAACCGGGCTTGGTGAAGCTGGGGGACTTCGGCTCCGCATCCATCATGGCACCTGCCAACTCCTTTGTGGGCACCCCGTACTGGTGAGTGGTTGTGGTGGTGATTGGTGAGAGCTGCCTGAAAGTTGGGAGCAGGAGTTGGCAGGGTCTGGGCAGGTAATTAGCCTCTTTGATCTGAACCCCCAGGATGGCTCCGGAGGTGATCCTGGCAATGGATGAAGGGCAGTATGACGGCAAGGTGGATGTCTGGTCACTGGGGATAACGTGCATCGAACTGGGTAAGGACAGCCTCCGCTCTGCTCCCTCCATCCTCTTTTCCTTCATTCCCTTCTCTTTCTCTTATTATCCCCATACCATACCATCCTTTGAGTTTTCCAGGCTTCTGTTCATTTTGACTCTACTCTTGATCTCCAATATAGGCAGCTGTCAAATTCTGCCAATTTTTTATTTGTTTATTTTTGTTAATCCTCACCCAAGGATATTTTTCCATTGATTTTTATTTTTGTTTTTTAATTTTTATTATTTTTTTAATCAGAGAGAAAGGGAGAGGGAAAGAGAAATTAGAAACATCAATGATGAGAGAATCATTGATCGGCTGCCTCTTGCACGCCCACCACTGGGGATCAAGCCTACAACCTGGGCATGTGCCCTTGTCCGGAATTGAACCCATGACCTTTCAGTCCGCAGGCCAATGCTCTATCCACTGAGCCAAATCGGCTAGTGCTCCATTAATTTTTAGAGCATGGAAGGGAGAGGGAGAGACAGAAAAACGTCGATTTGAGATAGACAAATGAATTGGTTGCCTCCTGCACGCACCTCAGCCTGGGCTGGGGAACCTGCAACCGCTATACATGCCCTTGACCAGAATCGAATCTGGGACCCTTCAGTCCGAGAGCTGATATTCTATCCACTGAGCAAAAATGGCTCGGGCAACTTCAGTTTTTATACCTAAAGATTCATAGCATTCACCTCTTCCTATCTAATGCTCTAGTTCTAACATTTTTCTTTCAGCATGGTCTGTGTACCATGTATGTGCTAGTAGGTTCTGGGGGTATAGCAGTGAATAAGTCTCCTGCCTTCATGGAATTTACATTCAAGTTGGGGAGGAAACAGGCATATTTTCTTTCAATGTAATAAGAGCTGAATGGGGAGTTAAAAGAATAGTACAACTCTTAAGATAAGGGATATGACCTAGTTCAGAGGCTGAGGAAGGTCTCCCCGTAGCAGAAATATATAAATGACGTCACAAGGCAAATAATAGTTAGCTGTTTGAAGACTGTAGGGAAGAGCATTCCAGATAGGTAAGAGCAGGCATGTGGAGCTGAAACTAGTTTCAGTTATCCTATATAATAAAAGGGTAATGTGCAAATTGACCCTAACAGCCGAATGACCGGTCACTATGACACACACTGACCAACAGGAGGCAGATGCTCAATACAGGAGCTGCCCTCTGGTCGTCAGTGCGCTTCCACGGGGAACACTGCTCAGCCAGAAGCTGGCTCGTGGCTGGCTAGCACAGTGGTGGTGGCAGGAGCCTCTCCTGCCTCCATGGCAGAGCTAAGGATGTCTGACTAACGGGCAGGTGGACATCCCCCGAGGGCTCCCGGGCTGCGAGAGGAATGTTTGACTGCCAGCTTAGACCCAGTCCTGCAGCGAGTGGGCCTAAACCAGCAGGTGGACATTTCCCAAAGGCTCCTGCAAGACTAGGGCTGAGGGACCCCCTAGTTTGGAATAATGCAGTAAAGAGCAGTAAGTGATACTACAGAGTTAGGCTCAAGTGAGTTCATAAGGCCTTGAAGCCATGTCAAGGTTCTCATCTTAGTCACCCTGCACTATTGAAACAACTATTTAATGAGATAATGTTTGTAAGACCTCCAACAGGGTGCCAAACATAGACTAGTTGTCCCAAGAAAGAGATGCTGTTGCCCTAGCAGATTTGGCTCGGTGGATAGAGCATCGGCTCGTAGACTGAAGGGTTGTGGCTTTGATTCCAGACAAGGGCACGTACCTGGGTTGCAGGCTCTGGTAGGGACCCATGTGGGAGGCAACCAATCAATATGTCTCTCTCATATTGATGTTTTTCTTCTGTTTCTCCCCTCCCTTCCACTCTAAACATCAGTGGGAAAATATCCTTCTGTGAGGATTAACAAACAAAAAGAAAGAAAGATGCTGTTAGTAACACTTATAAGCTACTTCTTGCAGTGATCTCTCCTACTACAGTCTCTCTGACGTCACAGAGTTGCTTAAGCTCTGTTGTTTCACTTTCTTCCTCAGAGCCAGCAGTGGCTCTCTGTTGCTTTCAAGACTGAAGTCATACCCATCTTTTCTCACACCAAGCTAAAGACTGCTTCCTAAAGCCTGGCTTTCGTCTTCGGAGCTCCACCCTGTGTGCCATGAACTTTTCCACTTTCTGCCTTGATTTCTTTTGTATCCCCTGTCCAAGAGCAGAAATGTGTACATGTCCATCTCTGCAAGTCTACATTTACCATTTGAGACCGCAACCAGACAGGATATGCAAATACTTGAAGCTGGCCAGGAATAAGAAAAATCTAGAACTGTCCATTTTATTTCTAGTTTTGGTAGAAACATAGGTACAGAGAAATGCTTCTCTACGATTAAAAAAAAAATCACAAAAAAACACACATCAATCTTGTGGCAACTGATAGTCAGGATCAGAAAAGCAAACTGGAAGTTTGGCAAACTGGAGATTGCTATTGCTTATCTCCAGCCCATTGTTATGCAAGAATATAGGCTCTAATTCACCAGATCTAAGTTTTTAAGATGAACTAGAGATTTAGGTTATTATTATTTGTTATATGGAATTTAATTTAAAAATCCTTATGTGGGCCAAAAGCATAAACAACAAAGACATTTGACTGAGCTACTTGGAGCTCCTGTCTTGCAATTTCTCATCCAAGGTCTAGCTCCAATATCCCTTTTTCCGAAAGACCTTCCCTGAATCCCCTGCAAATATACCAGCGGGAAGGCCCACCACACACCCAGCTTCCCAGCCATTTACCTATCTCCCTCTTGTGCCAGTTAACAGTTTGAACTTGATATTATTTGTCCACCCTATTTAATCTTTCTGTCAGATTGAAGTTCGTTGAGGACAGGACCTATTTCTTGTTTTCCTTTACCTTCCCCATAACACTTCGCGAGCTTTTTGCTCTCATTTGGCACCTAATAAATATTAATTTGGCTGATAACTTTCTTCTGCCTTCTTCGGTGCTTTTGCATATGCTATTTGTGTTATCTGTACTTCACCTTGTGCAGGTGAAATGACAGTGTTGCATTTTCCAGAGGGAGTGCATTGAGGTTATGGGAATTGCTCAGAATCTCGCAGCCAGGAAGTCAGGAGCTGGAATATGAACTCAAATCTCTGGATTTCTGTTCCAGTCTCCTCTGCCCACTGCCATCTCTCACTTCTCCCACTTGACCTTTCTTTGTAGCGGAACGGAAACCACCACTGTTTAACATGAATGCGATGAGTGCCTTATACCACATTGCACAGAATGAGTCCCCTGTGCTCCAGTCAGGACACTGGTAAGGGCTTGGATCCCTGGGCCCAGGGGTTAGGCCATAGGGTAAGGCTGCCTGACTCATCCCTTTCCCACTCCTCCCTTCCCCTCCTGTGACTACTAGGTCTGAGTACTTCCGGAATTTTGTCGATTCCTGTCTTCAGAAAATCCCTCAAGACAGACCAACCTCAGAGGTTCTTCTGAAGGTGAGGACTCACTGGCCTAGGATTTTTCTAGAACTGTAGCTTGTTTGAGCTACAAGAAATCCCTCAATGAAATTAGTGATTCCCACCAAAAACTTCATTTATGAATTCCCACCCCCTCCCTGTTAAATTTTGTCTACCAGACTGCCTTTATTAAGTAATAATTTGTTTTCCCATCTTTTATTAATCAATGATGTATATAATTGCAAACTAGGACTTCTGGTCAGCATGCGATAACCAGGGTTACCACACTGATCTGATGTAAATTAAGCCAAAAGCCTGTGTAGTCTTGTCATGGGTAAATGTATGATTTCCCTTAGGTATTTTTTGACTTAGCAAAAGTAGAGGGGCCCCTATTCCCTTCACAGACCCATGGGGGGCTACAGAGTCCTAGTTGGGAACTGACATAGATTGTCTGGTTTGACAGTTGTTTTGTAATTGTGGGATACCTTATGAGGCCTAATGTGGGATACCAGAGAGGCCTCATGACATGTCCTTTGATAGAGGACCTGGACTGGAATCCAGATGTGACTGGTCTGCCTGTTGGCCATTGGTGAAGGAACGAGACTGGGGAGATTGGGTGGTGAAAATTAATGTGGGGGAAAGTGTTGGGACAAGGCCAGTATCCACCCATGAGGACATGGGTCCCAGGGGATTGCCTCAGGCCAGAGGGAATGCCCGCACCCATAGGATATTGAGGATCATAGGGGTGCTTGGCCGCGAGTCTCGGTGTTCTCTTTCCCCAGCACCGCTTTGTGCTCCGGGAGCGGCCACCCACAGTCATTATGGACCTGATTCAGAGGACCAAGGATGCTGTGCGGGAGCTGGACAACCTGCAGTACCGCAAGATGAAGAAGATTCTCTTCCAAGAGGCACCCAATGGCCCTGGTGCTGAAGCCCCAGAGGAGGAGGAGGTGACCCAGCTTGCCCTGCCACCCTTTACCACCATGTTGTACTTGCCTCCTAGCAGTTGCTTAGCCCCCTTGCCCATCCCTCCTCACACCCACTGTCTTCCTTGTGCTACCTCCATGTACACACCCCTTGTTCTTCCCCTTCCCTGCCCAACAGCCTACGCCCTGTCTGCAGGAGGCGGAGCCCTACATGCACCGAGCTGGGACGCTGACCAGTCTAGAGAGTAGCCACTCAGTGCCCAGTATGTCCATCAGCGCCTCTAGTCAGAGCAGCTCAGTCAACAGCCTAGCAGATGCTTCAGACAACGAGGAGGAGGAAGAGGAAGAGGAAGAGGAGGAAGAAGAGGAGGAAGGCCCTGAAGCCCGGGAGATGGCCATGATGCAGGAAGGGGAGCACACAGTCACCTCCCACAGTTCCATCATCCACCGGCTGCCGGTATGCGGCTCACCCTGAGGAGGCCTGACAGTGGAAAGGCCCAGCCCCAGCTCTTCCGCTCAGACATCGTCTGGGTTCCCTTCTCTCCCTCCCAAGCATGACTGCCTCCTCTAAATCTGACTGGGTCTCCAAGGAACTGCCTTTGGGGCCAGTGACCTCTGAGCCTGTATATCCTTTCCACCTTCCCTCCAGGGCTCTGACAACCTATATGATGACCCCTACCAGCCAGAACTGACCCAGGGCCCTCTCCAGCAGCCTGCAGCCCCAGCTCCCACTTCTACCACTTCTTCTGCCCGCCGCCGGGCCTACTGCCGCAACCGGGACCACTTTGCCACCATCCGCACTGCTTCCCTGGTAAGGGAATCATTCTCCCTTGGGCCACAGGTCCCAGTCATCTATGTCAGAAATTATTTCCTCCTTGTGGCACATGGTCAAGTTCAAATTCTACCCTCACTTTTGGTAGCTGTCTCTTGCCTTTTCTTCACTTCAACCTCCAGGGGATTGGCCACATTGGGCATTCCTAGCTTGGCAAACTCTTACTCCATTTTTATGGCTGAACTTAAATTGTGTCTCCTCAGATGCCTTCCCAGGCCCCTGGCCAATTGGGTGCTCCTGAACAGCATTTTGACAGATGTGCTGGATTCTGTGTTTGTGAGGGGCTAGGGTGGTGTTCAGGGGCTAGGTGCCTCATTCCAGTGATTGGTTCTCAGGTCACATACATGCCTATATTTAATCCAGCTCCTCTGGGAGGGAGCAGTATGATCCCATTGGAGAGGTGAGGCAGCCATGACTCAGAGCCTGCTTGCCTAAGGCACTTATCCTAGCATTGTTGATGGTTGTCAAATTCTGTAAGCAGGACGCTGATCCTTTCCTAACGTTAACTTATAGCAGTTGTTTTCTCAGTTAACAGGGAAAAGTGGGTAGACGTTTAGATTACATTCCTGCTTAGCTGCAAGCGCCAACAACCCCCTTACTTGGTTTAGGGGTCTCTGCATGTGGTTGGTTCTGTTAGGTCAACTCTTCAAATCCTGTGATGCTTGGTTCTTTGTGATACTGTGCAGAGAAATCTGTGACTTCCAGGCTATGGCCACCTGGACAATGGGCCTGAGCTCAAATTTTAGGACATCCAGTCCCAGTCTTCTTGTTATTCCAACATCTCATGGCCCAGATCCAGTTCTCAGTGTTTGCTGAAGGAGAACAAAACCAACGTTTAGTGATTCACAGTGTTCTAGACACTAGTACATACTAGTATGTATCAAAGTTAATCTCCACAGCCCTCAATGAGGAGGTATTATGGCCTCACTTAATAGACGAGGAAACCAAGGTTTAGCAACCTTAACTTGCATGAGGTCACATGGTTAGTAAGTGGCAGAGCTGGGACATGAACCCAGGTCTCTATGATGACTCTTTGTTGTATTAATCCTCCTCCGAGGATATTTTTCCATTTATTTTTAGAGAGAGTGGAAGGAGGGGAAGAGAGAGAAAAACATTGATGTGAGAGAGACACATCAATTGGTTGCCTCCTGCACTCACCCTGAGCAAGGCCAGGATCGAGCCCGCAACCTAGAAATGCGTCCTTGATCAGAATCGAACCCAGGACCCTTCAGTTCACAGGCCAACGCTCTCTCTCCTGAGCCAAACTTGCCTGGGCTGTATGATTACTCTTTTGAACTAATCTGAATTGTCCTACTTTTACACCTCTTGTTTTCTCATCAACCTGTGAAGTTAACTATATTTTCATTTTCCAGTTGAGGTGGCAGGCTCAGAGAGGTTATGTGTGAGGAAGATACCAAATGTGAGAATTAAACCCATGCGTGTAAAGCCCATGTTCTTTCTTCATAGAGCATGAAGGCTGTGTGTGCTAATCAAATGGGGCCAAGCTGAGCCTTTCTTCTCATCCTCTCCCGCCCCAGGTCAGCCGTCAGATCCAGGAGCATGAGCAGGACTCAGCTCTGAGGGAGCAGCTAAGTGGCTATAAGCGGATGCGACGGCAGCACCAGAAACAGCTGTTGGCCCTGGAGTCACGACTGAGGGGTGAACGCGAGGAGCATAGTGCACGGCTGCAGCGAGAACTTGAGGCCCAGCGAGCTGGCTTCGGGGCTGAGGCAGAAAAGCTGTCCCGGCGGCACCAGGCCATCGGGGAGAAGGAGGCACGAGCTGCCCAGGCTGAGGAACGAAAGTTCCAGCAGCACATCCTTGGGCAGCAGAAGAAGGAGCTGGCTGCCCTGCTGGAGGCGCAGAAGCGAACCTACAAACTTCGGAAGGAGCAGCTAAAGGAGGTGGGATGGGCTCTGGCAGTGCAGTGGCTGGGGCCTGGTGGTGAGCGAGGCAGTCCCTCACTGCCCTGCTCTCCCCACTGCCCAGGAGCTTCAGGAGAACCCCAGCACACCCAAGCGGGAGAAGGCTGAGTGGCTTTTGCGGCAGAAGGAGCAGCTACAGCAGTGCCAGGCGGAAGAGGAGGCAGGGCTGCTACGAAGGCAGCGCCAATACTTTGAGTTGCAGTGTCGCCAATATAAGCGCAAAATGCTGCTGGCTCGTCATAGCCTGGACCAGGATCTGCTGCGAGAGGTGGGTCATCCCATTTCCCTCCCAGATCCCAGACATCCTTAAAAAAAAACCAAACACACCAGATATAGATTAGATTAGATATAGATATATAGATATATAGATTTAGATAGATTTCAGAGTGGAAGGGAAGGGATGAGAAAAACAGAAACATCAATGATTGGCTGCCTCCTGCATACTCCATACTGGAAATGGAGCCCACGACAGGCATGTGCCCTGACCGGGAATCAAACATCCACCTCCTGGTTCACAGGTAAATGCTCAACCACTGAGCCATGCTGGCCCTGCCCAGGCATCCTTTTTCATTTGCCTCACTTATGGTCGTCTTTCCCCTCAGCCCACCTTCATGTGATGGTTCTGCTTCCCTTGAACACCCCTCTTGCTTCTTATGCCCACCAGAAAGACCCTGCTAGAGTTCCCCTACAATTCTATTCCCAGGGGGTTGGCTCCCTTATACCCCTCATCTTCCCACCATCAGCTTCTGCCAAAGAGTTTTGAGGCTCTCACACCAACAAGGTTTCTAACTGGACTCTGGGCCCTGCCCCTCTTCTGCTTCAGGACTTGAACAAGAAACAAACACAGAAGGACTTGGAGTGTGCATTGCTGCTGCGGCAGCATGAGGCCACACGGGAGCTTGAGCTGAGACAGCTCCAGGCTGTCCAGCGCACAAGGGCAGAGCTCACCCGCCTGCAGCACCAGACAGAGCTGGGCAACCAGCTGGAGTACAATAAGCGGCGTGAGCAAGAGTTGCGGCAGAAGCATGCAGCCCAGGTTCGCCAGCAGCCCAAGAGCCTCAAAGTACGTGCAGGCCAGCGTCCCCCGGCCCTCCCGCTCCCCATTCCTGGGGCTCTGGGACCACCCAGCACAGGCACCCCTAGAGAAGAGCATCCCTGCTCATCTGGCCAGGAGGCAGTCTTTGACCAAAGAATTCTGGGAGAGGAGGAGCAAGCAATTCCAGAGAGAAGGATTCCGGGAAAGGAAGGGGCCACCTTGGAACCAGAGGAGCAGAGGATTTTGGGGGAAGAATCAGGAACCCCTAGTCCCAATCCACAAAAACATAGGTGTTTGGTTGGTGAGGAAGTTTGGGGTCTTACTGAGGAGGAGATAGAGGAGCTAAGAGTCCCATCCCTGACACCTCAGGAGAGGAACATTGTGGGCCAGGAGTTGGCTGAGGCGTGGATGTTGTGGGAGAAGGAGGATAGGAGCCTCTTGGATGAGGAATTTGAGCTTGGCTGGGTCCAGGGCCCAGCTCTGACCCCAGTCCCTGAGGAGGAGGAAGAGGAAGAAGAGGAGGAGGGGGCTCCTTTTAGGACTCCGAGGGATCCTGGAGATGGCTGTCCCTCACCAGACATCCCCCCTGAACCCCCTCCAACATATCTGAGACCTGGCCCTGCTAGCCAGCTCCCTGGACTCCTGTCCCATGGCCTCCTGGCCGGCCTCTCTTTTGCAGTGGGGTCCTCCTCTGGCCTCCTGCCCCTACTACTTCTGCTGCTGCTCCCTCTGCTGGCCGCCCAGGGTGGGGGTGGCTTGCAGGCCTCGCTGCTAGCCCTTGAGGTGGGGCTGGTGGGCCTGGGGGCCTCCTACCTACTTCTTTGTACAGCTCTGCATCTGCCCCCCAGTCTGTTCTTACTCCTTGCCCAGGCCACTGCACTGGGGGCTATCCTGGGTCTGAGCTGGTGCCGGGGCCTTATAGGTGTCCCTCTGGGCCTTGGGGCCGCCTGGCTGCTAGCCTGGCCAGGCCTGGTTCTACCACTGGCAGCTATGGCAGCTGGGGGCAAATGGGTGCAGCAGCAGGGACCTCAGATTCGCCGGGGCATCTCTCGGCTCTGGTTACGGGCTCTGCTGCGCCTATCCCCCCTGGCCTTTAGGGCCCTACAGGGTTGTGGGGCTGTGGGGGACCGGGGTCTGTTTGCCCTCTACCCCAAGACCAACAAGGATGGCTTCCGCAGTCGACTGCCTGTCCCTGGGCCTCGGCGGAGTAATTCCCGGGCTTCCCGACGCCCACTAGCCCTATTGGCAAGGTTTTGGGCCCTGTGTAAGGGCTGGAATGGACACCTGGCACGGGCCAGCCAAGGTTTGGCCTCCCGCTTACCTCCCTGGGCGATCCACACACTGGCCAGCTGGGGCCTCCTTCGAGTTGAACGGCCCAGCCGTATTCCCCGACTGCTGCCTCGCAGCCAGCGCAGGCGAGGGCCCCCTGCCTCTCACCAACCACCACCTGGGACTCTAGCTGGGCGCAAGTCCCGAACCCGTCAGTCCCGGGCCCTGCCTCCCTGGAGGTGACCAACTCCGGTGTTTCCTCAGCCCGAATCTAGAGCACTTTATCTCCCACTACTCAGCGAAGATTTTGCAGTCCCAGTCCTCCCTTTCACCCCTCCTTCCTCGGTGTGCTCCCTCCACCTCCAGCCCTTGGACCTCTAGGCAGGCAGCCCCTCTGCTAGAGCTCAGAGTTACACTTTGTGTTCTCCTGAGGCTCCTCCCCACCCTAAGTTATTGCTGTTCTCCGGCTGTGTGTGTACTCATCCTCACCCTCATCGACTCAGGCCTGGGGCCAGGTGTGGTGGTGGGTGGAAAGAGTCATGTGTTTTTTTTTCTCTCTTTGATTTTGTTTTTCTGTCTCCCTTCCAACCTATCCCCTTCCCCCCATCAAAAAAAGAAAAAGACAAACACAAATAAAATATCTAAGCGGAACTATACCTTTGGCCCAGGCTGCCTCTGTCTGCTTTGTCCTGCCGCCTAGCCTCCCTGGTATGCCCCAGTCCAGACCCTTGGCCCCCAGACCCATGACCTCTTCACCTCCATCTACAGTATCTCAACCCCTTTCATTCCTCGGCCTCATCCTCTCTGCCATCATAACTTTATTGCATCATGACCACCACCAGCTGGGGGTCTGGACCTCTTTGAGCTTTGACATATCTTATGCCCACAGTTCCCATTTGTGGATTCCTTATGAGACTCCTTAGGTTCTGGGTCCTTTTGTCCTCATCCCCTGCTGTCTCCCAACCTGTTCCCTTTCTGGGAGCAGAATTTCCCTCCTGGCATCAGGAATTATCCTAGAGGGCTGGGGGATGGGACTGGAAACCCTGAATAGTAGGGGATGGTGAGTTTGGGGGCCAAGCACGAGTATGGGGGAAGTGGAAAAGGGATTGGTTGTGGGCTTGGAATGGGAGCTGAGTGTGTAAGGGGCTGTCTGGAATGTGGACATCTGGCCAGGGTGGCAGCTGTTGGCCCATTGAACTTGTCAGGCCCTTTCTGGCCACTTCTTTGCCCCTTTGCCTTATGTGGCCTGAGATGGGGCCACCTCTTCTTATCCATTTCTCAGCTCGGTGGTTGTCCTTCCCTCCTTCCCGCCCAGAGGTACTGAACCTGGGCCTTTCTCCGTCTTTAGCTGTGTTGCTCTCTTCCATGAGTATGTTGTGTGATTTGGTTTTCTCACTCTTACATACATTCTGTATCTGCTCACATGCTTTTGTCTCTAGGTCATGTTTTCTCTCTGCATGGTTAAAGCTTCTTGTATGCCCTGAGTACTCTAAAGATTCTCAGTTCCCTGTCCATGAATTCTCCTGCTGTTTCTCGTGAGTTTTCCACCCAACTCTGTGAACATGCTCTTGGAACCTTGTTTCCTTTGCATCTCTTGCCCATTGAGAATCTTCCTGATCTCTCTCAACACAATCCCATCTCTCCATGTCTGTCTGTATACAGTTCCCCCCGCCCCCTCTGTCTAACATGTTTTCTGTTTCTCTCCCTCTCCCTGTCTCTGTTTCTGTCTCTTCCTCTCTCTTTCCCCCTTCTCCCCTGATTGTTCCTCCTCCTCCTGTTCCTCTTCCTCCTGTTCTTCCTCTTCCTCCTCTCCCTCTTCCTCTCCCCTGCCCCCATTTCCCCTCGGTCCATCCACTGCATAGTCTAAGGAGCTGCAGATCAAGAAGCAGTTCCAGGAGACGTGTAAGATCCAGACTCGGCAGTACAAGGCTCTGCGGGCACACTTGCTGGAGACTACGCCTAAAGCTCAGCACAAGAGCCTTCTTAAGCGGCTCAAGGAAGAACAGACCCGAAAGCTGGCGATCCTAGCCGAGCAATACGACCAGTCCATCTCAGAGATGCTCAGCTCACAGGCGGTGAGGCCTGGGGTCCAGAGAGGGAGCATGGTGGAGATTGGCCGCTATTTCCCACTTGGTTATGGGCATTGAAAGCAGGGGAGGGGTGGATTTTTGAGGGGGCTTTTTGTTCCTCGCAAACCTCAGATACCTCCCACTGTTAGTATTCTCTGCAATGGTTTTATTCTCTCGCTTGAGTATTTTCTCAAGGTCTTAACAAAGCCAGCCTGCCTATTCTACCAAGAACTACCAAGGAAAGTGCGGCTGTAGTTTTTCCTTGAGCCTGAGGTAGTTTAATGTGAATAGCAAATCAAAATGCTTATAGCCCTCAGGTCAATTTTCTGACTTCTGGAGGATTTTGAAGGTTGCTGTCTAAAAGTGATCACACATAAGTAACATGGAATGGGTCACTTAAAATATACACATGGTATAAAAAGTAACACTATTCATTGCCATTTTTTCACCCAATCCCACTTCTCATTGAGGTATATTAATAATTCATTATACTAGATTATTTCCTGTGCATATTGGAAAGTTACATAAAATTTTGAAACAAGAATGGAATCATATTTTACATACTATTCTTTAACTTCTTTTTCTACCTAATATTGGACCTCTTCCCATGTCAGTACACATATCTCATTTTTTTTTAACAGCATAGAATTTTCCATGGTATAAATATACCATAATTTATTTAACCCATCCCTTATTGGTGGACATTTAGGTTGTTTCCAGTATATTGCTATTACAACGCTTCAGTGAACACCTTCGAGCACATGTGCAAGTATACCTTGGGGATAAATTCCTGGAAGTGTAATTGCTGTGTCACAGGGTATGACGACCTTTCATTTTGGTAGATGTTGACACTGGCTGCTTCTTGAAACCTTAGGGCCCAGGCCTACCTGGGGCAGGGGAGGATTGTGGGGGTTGGGAAGGAGGCCCCTAAAATTGGTTCTTCCTATTTTCCAGCTGCGGCTTGATGAGACCCAAGAGGCAGAATTCCAAGCCCTTCGGCAGCAGCTTCAACAGGAGCTGGAGCTCCTCAATGCTTATCAGAGTAAGATCAAGATTCGCACGGAGAGTCAACATGAGAGGGAGTTGCGAGAGCTGGAACAGAGAGTAGCTCTGAGGCGGGCACTGCTAGAGCAGCGGGTAAGAGGGCTTGGCCTCCAGGATGGGATGGGCAGTCCCCCGACCCCTCCCGCCGAACCCTCAGTGGACTCTCTAATCTCTTGTGGGTGTTCCAGGTGGAAGAGGAGCTGCTGGCCCTGCAAACGGGGCGTTCTGAACGAATCCGGAGTTTGCTTGAACGGCAGGCCCGTGAGATCGAGGCTTTCGATGCTGAGAGCATGAGGCTGGGTTTCTCCAGTATGGCTCTGGGGGGCATCCCAGCCGAGGCTGCTGCCCAGGGCTATCCCGCTCCACCCCCTGCCCCTGCCTGGCCCTCCCGCCCTGTTCCCCGTTCAGGGGCACACTGGAGCCATGGCCCTCCTCCACCTGGCATGCCCCCCCCAGCCTGGCGTCAGCCTTCTCTTCTGGCTCCCCCAGGTCCCCCAAACTGGCTGGGGCCCCCAGCACAGAGTGGGACACCCCGTGGTGGAGCCCTGCTACTGCTCAGAAACAGCCCCCAGCCCCTGCGGCGGGCAGCCTCGGGGGGCAGTGGCAGTGACAACGTGGGCCCACCTGCTGCCGCAGTGCCTGGGCCTCTGAGCCGCAGCACCAGTGTCGCTTCCCACATCCTCAATGGCTCCTCCCACTTCTATTCCTGAAGTGCAAGGTGGATAAGCAGATGGAGGGGCAGGGGCAAGGGTGGGTGGAGCCTGATTCTGGAGAGCTTATAAGCTTGAGGCCCACCCAAGGGTGGGGGAATGGATGTTAGTTCCAGCTCTCCTCAAACCTCATCTCATGAGCTTCTTGGGCTGGCCAGTGGCCCAGGGTCAGCTTGGGCACAGGTTCCTCAAGGCTGACTAGGAGCCCCTGCCTCCCCACCATGGTGCCAGGGTCTCTCTCCACCACCGCCTTGGAAAAGGAGGGAGATGTGTGTGTCAAATATTCATCTAGTCCCCTGGGGGAGGGGAAGGGTGGGTCTAGATATATTCAGAGAACTAAACTCCCTGCATTGGGGCCGTGGATTGGGGACGCCAGGCCCCCCGCAGACCTGGGAAGTGACAGAGCAAGTCTGGGGGTCTGGGGTGGGGAGTACGGGAGGAAAGGGCCTTCTTAGGAAGGATAAGGATGGGGTCTTGGGGTCAGGATGCCTGGGTCTCTCCATTCCCCTGTTGCCGTCTGAAGTCCTGTGCCGTCTTGTCTTTTTTTTTTTATTATTATTATTATTATTGAGATCAGAGCTGGGGCAGGGGAACAAGGGAAGGACCTTGGAAGGGGCTGCTCCCAGGTCTGGGGGCAGTCATGGGAGCCCCTCCCAGCTACGGGGCTGGCACAGAGCCCCATGGCAAGCTTTTAATAAACTGTTGGTTATTCTAACAGACCCCAGGACTCATGCTTTCTAAGCTGTGCATTAAGGACTGTTCAGTGGCAGGTGATAATGTTACTTGTATTTAAAAAGAAAATTTACTGGGCTGTGGAAGTAAAAATTGCAGTGTTTTTAATTACTTTGGCCATCACTAGACTCAGAGCCTTAGATGGGATCATTAGACTTTTTAAAAATATATATATATATATATTGATTTTTTACAGAGAGGAAGAGAGAGGGATAGAGAGTTGGGAACATCGATGAGAGAGAATCATCAATGAGCTGCCTCTTGCACACCCCCCACTGGGGATGTGCCCGCAACCAAGGTACATGCCCTTGACCGGAATCGAACCCGGGACCTTTCCAGTCCCCAGGCCGACGCTCTATCCACTGAGCCAAATCTGTTTCGGCGGATCATTAGACTTTGACCTCTGCTTCCCTTTGCTGTTGGCTTCAAAGGTTTTTAGAAGGTTCACTTCATGCTCAAACTCCTAGCAGCTCCAGGCTTACATCTTACCAGCAACTTCAACAGCAAGAATCCCAGCCAATTCCTGAAGTGACCTCATTGGCTCCATCTATAGCCAGAGACCTGGCATGGTGCTCTGATTGGTAAGGTGTAGGTCCTGTTCTCCCACCCTTTGAATGCTGAAGGAGATGGCCCATAGACCAAGGGGCTGTTTGTTTGGGGTTTTTTTGTTTTTGTTTTTTTAAAAAGATCTTCCTCTTCCTCTTCTTCTTTTTTTTTTTTTTTAATATATTTTACTGATTTTGTACAGAGAGGAAGGGAGAGAGTTAGAAACATCCATGAGAGCGTCATCGATCAGCTGCCTCTTGCACACCCCCTACTGGGGATATGCCTGCAACCAAGGTACATGCCCTTGACCGGAATCGAACCCGGGACCCTTCAGTCCCCAAGCCGACGCTCTGACATTGAGCCAAACCGGTTTGGGCTAAGGGGCTGTTTCTTAAAGGGGAAGGAGAACACACACCAGCTGTTTCCAAGTTATTTCATTTTGTGCTTCACACTCTTAAAGCTAGATTGTCAGAGTCCTTCCACCAGGAGCCACTCTCTTCTAAGAGAGCCTGGTGGCAGACTGGATGGCAGGGTCTGAAAGCTGGGACTTCTGTGGAGAACCTGAGGGAAATTAAAGGGAACTAGATGGGTGAGTGGGAGGACACGGGCCACTTCTCAACCTCCTGGCCCAAGAGTGGGCGGTGAGCACGGGGGACTAGTTTTGATGAGGTGATTCAAACATTCCTTTATTGAGTCTTAAAAAATAAACTGTAAGCACTGTACACTGAGGATGTGAAGCAGAAATAGAATCCCAGTAATTGAAGAAAGGTGCTTCTCCGGGCACAGAGTTTGGGTTGGCTGGGTCGCTAGACGTGTGCTTTCTACAGGTGTACAAAGCTCCTCCTGGTAGAGGGGAGCTTAGTTACTCTCGCCGTCACTGCTGATGATGCCACGCATATGAGACCAGTCCGGGCGTGGGGGGCAGTGCTGCTCTTCCTCAGAGTCCAGCGTCCGGCGGTACAGCTCCCCGGGGGCGGCTGGTTCTGAAGGGTTCCAGGCCGTGCGTCTCCGTGGCCGACCTGGGGGAAGAAGCAGATTAGTTGTCTGAGCGAGTCCAAGCCCCATCCGTCTCCGGGCAGGGAGAAGCCTCTCACCCGAACAGCTGATAATGTTAGTAATGTCCAAGGATGCCACCTCGGCTGCCTCCTCACGCTGCTCCTTCAGAGCCCGGCACTTCTCTAAAGAAGGGTTACCTGGGAGAGAAGAGGCTTGTGATCCTCTCCCCCCAGCAGCCAAGGACCTCCTGCAGCCCCAGGGCACACCCGGCCTAACCCTTCATGCCCAGAGCTTCCAGCTCTGCCCGGAGGACACTCAGGCGCTCCTTGCGCGAGCGGCAGGAGCCCAGCAGCTTCTTGTAGTTGCGATGGGCGCCACAGGCCCGGATGTAGCGCTTCAGTCTCATCACAGCAGGGTGGTCCTCGTCGCGATGACCAGCCTGGCAGGAAAAGACGACGGCTGAAGGTCAGGTCTGCTGGGTCTGACTCTAGGTCTCCCTCTTAACTGTGGCCTCCCGCCCCATCTTCTCCCTCACCTTCCTGCCTTTGGGTTCCGGGCTGCCATTGGCCGAAGAGGACGAAGAGCTTCGTGACCTGCTTTTCTTGGCGCTCTTCCTGTAGGAGCGGCCCTTCCTCTCCCCCTGGAGGCTCGCCCCTGCCTCACTGTCACTCGCCTCCCTCTCCGAGTCACTTGCCTCGTCATTGGTTGTCTTTCTCCTTTCTGCTTTGGCTGACTTTCCTCTGCCTTTAGTAGCTGGTTTCAACTTCCTACAGCTGTCCTCCCCATCCTCCTCACTGCTGCCACTCTGCCTTCTGCCATCAGCCCACTGGGTCCTGTCCTTGCCCTTCCTCTGCACTAGGGGTTCTTCATCTCCCTCACTGTCATCTCCGCTGCCTGCTGCACTTTCCTTCTCTTCCTCTCTGTCCGCCCCGTCCCCCAGCACTTCTGCTGCCAGGCTTTTCTGCTTACTGCTGCCGTCCTCCCAAGCGGACTTTTCCCCTCCATTTTTCGGAGCTCTGGGTTTCCAATCCGCCTCTCTGTTCTCTTTCTTGGCTAGGGTCTCCTCCCCATCACTCTCCGTTTCACTTTCCTGGTGTCTTTTAGCTCTTTTGTTTTCCATCCTTTGGGCAAGTTCTTCCTCACTGTCCTCACTCTCCTTGATGGCCTGCTTCCTACTAGCTGACATCTTGCCTGGTACCTGCTTCTTCTTAACTGTGGCCTCCCGCCCCATCTTCTCCCTCACCTTCCTGCCTTTGAGTTCCGGGCTGCCATTGGCCGAAGACGAAGAGCTTCGTGACCTGCTTTGCTTGGCGCTCTTCCTGTAGGAGCGGCCCTTCCTCTCCCCCTGGGGACTCCCCCCTGCCTCACTGTCACTCGCCTCCCTCTCCGAGTCACTTGCCTCGCCATTGGTTGTCTTTCTCCTTTCTGCTTTGGCTGACTTTCCCCTGCCTTTAGTAGCTGGTTTCAACTTCCTGCAGCTGTCCTCCCCATCCTCCTCGCTGCTGCCACTCTGCCTTCTGCCACCAGCCCACTGGGTTCTGTCCTTGGTCACACGTTTCTTCCTAGTCCTGCCTTTGGAGTCCTTTTCCTTATTCCCTTCCTCACTGCTCTCTTCTTTCCAGACCTTACTTGTTCTATCAGAGCTCTCCTCCTCCGAGCTCTCCTTCACTGCCTCCTCCTCCTCTAATCCAGTCTTGTATGCAGTCAGGTCCCTCTGCTGTTCTTCCTCGTCGCTGCTCTCAATTGCTCTTTTTGATGCCCGATTTGGACTCTCCTCTGCGGGACTGACTGCCGCCCCCATCCCATTCTTTGCTGGATGGCTGAAGCAGTCTGGACTTGAGGCTGCAGCACTGGGCTCTGAAATGTGGAGAGAACAGAAGGTTGGGACAGGTTGTCTCAAACCCTGCTTTGACAGATGAATGCAGAGACAACAGGAACAGCCGTCAGTCCACCGTGTTCCTGGTTCCAGACGACCTCATCCAGGGCCTTGGGACATATTACATGCACAGTAAATACTTTCTGAATGAACCAACTATGCAGAAGGCACTAACCTGAATCTGAATTCAAACGGAACCTTTTTCTCTCTGGGTCACTGGAGGATGTGGGGGGCTTCTTTGTCTTCTTGGCAAGATTTAGTCCTCCTCTGGCACCCGCTTCATCCACCTGTTTGTGCATCAAGAGAGCAAAACGTATGGAGGTGATGCTCTGCCACACCCCTTCTCTGGCCCCTACTCCGCAACAAGCCCTCCTCCCGTGGAGGGGGTTCCGCCCACACCTGCATCTTCAGCAGTTCCTCCTCCACGAGCCGCTTCAGTGCCTGCTTCTCCTTGGGACTCAGGTGGTCGCTGCCGGTGTGAGCCAAGAACTTCCGCCGCACGATGGAGTGGGTGAGCGTGCTGCGAAGAGAGATGTCAAGGGGGAGTCCCCGGCCCGGCCATGCCCTTTCCCACCCCAACCCCGACCTCCAGTGCACCTGAGGTCCGGACGGCCTCGGAAGAAGCTACGGGTAAACTCCCGCATCTCGTTCTCCCGCGCCATTTTGCTCCATTGGGATTGGTGGCCCCCGCCCTTTTTCCTCTCGGCCTCCGTTAGCGCGTTTGACAGGAACGTGCGCACGCGCAGTGCAGCGGCGTTGTAAGGCGAGGGACCGTTGGGTGTCGGTTGCAGGGCGCTTGGGCTGATTTCCCGGCAGTTGGAGGGTCTCGCGGCTCTTCCCCCCACCTTTTTTTTTTTTTAGAATCGATTGTTTTTTAAAAATTCTCGATAGAAACCTTCGGCGCGGCAACCTTTGGGTGTACGTAATCAATCCGCGACGCCTCCGTCCGTGGTCTCGGGCAAGCTAGGCCGCTGTGACTTCGAAAGACAGAAGAAAAGGGACATCTCTCCTGAAAATTAGGACTCCCCGGGGGAAGAGACTTGTGCCTTCCAATCTCTGAGCACATGTAGAAACAGTAAGGGCGAACCTCCAGCGTCCGCCATCTTTGTGACATCATCAAGTCGCGGCGACACCAGCGTTGGCTTTAACGTAGTCCCTGGAAGCAGAGTTCCTTTCCGGTATTCCCTGAGAGGGCCACTGGGTGGTAACGAAGGCTGGGCGCGGGGCACGCCGGGAGTTGTAGTCCCCACAGGCACTGTTTCCTTAGTCTCCGGAAGCGGAGGTTTGGGGCGGGGTTGAGCTGTTAAGGTAGCGGGACTTCAGTGCCCGGGCGCCGCTCGCGGGGCCGGTCATGAACGGGCCGGCGGACGGCGAAGTGGACTACAAGAAGAAATACCGAAACCTGAAACGGAAGCTCAAGTTCCTCATCTACGTGAGTGATGGGGCGAGGAGGTGGGGGGTGAGGCCTGTCGCTGGTAGGACCGCAGCTCACCCACGAGTAAATGGAGTGGGCTGAGCTGTCGCCAGGTTCCGGGCCCCTTTGCGGGCCACCGCCGGCTCAGCGCGCACCCTGACTGTGATACAGGAACACGAGTGCTTTCAGGAGGAGCTGAGGAAGGCACAGAGGAAACTGCTGAAGGTGTCCCGGGACAAGAGGTGAGACACGCCGGCGGGAGAAGGGAGCGCTGCGTGTGATGAGGTCCCTGTGGATGTGCATATTCGGACCCAGTTACAGGAATAGGGTCACACGTGCATGGTGCCTGCCTTGGGGCTGCTGCAGGTTCCAGCGGACCAGCTAGAGGGGACAGGGCCAGGACAACATTGCTGAGTAGCAGTAAACACTTGTTCTCCCCGCCTCTTTCCTCAGTTTCCTCCTAGACCGGCTCTTGCAGTACGAGAACGTGGATGAAGACTCTTCGGGTGAGCAGGAGTGATAGGGGGAGGACGTGGTTCCTGGCACTTGAGCAAGCTAACTGGGCCCCTCCTTTTAGGCTGCGGAGGCGATACAGCCGCCAGTGGTTCTTAAGCCTAGCTGCTTTCCCTCCACCTCTGCTCTTCTTCCACTCGGGCATTTACTGAACATCTGTGTCTTAGGCACTGTGTTTGGAGATACTGTGGTGACAAGATGGATGAAGTCGCTTGGAATTTTTATTCTAGTTGGGGATAATAAGTAAGCAAGAAATGAGAATGTTAGATTTGATAGGAATAAGGTCAGGCTAGAGCAAGGATGATAAACTTTTTCTGTAAAGGACCAATGAAATATTTTAAGCTTTGCACAACATACAATCTTTGTCATATCTTCTTAGTTCTGCTGTTGCAGTGCAAAAGCAGCCGAAGGTGATATGTATACATAAATGAGCATTTCTGTGTTTCAGTAAAACTTTATTTATGGACAATGAAATTTTAATTTCATATAAAATATTTTTTGTCCCTTCATTCCCAACCATTTAAAAATATAAAAGCCGCTGAAACCGGTTTGGCTCAGTGGTAGAGCGTTGGTCTGTGGACTGAAAGGTCCCGGGTTCGATTCCGGTCAGGGACATGTACGTTGGTTGCGGGCACATCCCCCATAGGGGGTGTGCAAGAGGCAGCTGGTCGATGTTTCTCTCTCATCGACATTTCTAGCTCTCTCTCTCTCTCCCTTCCTCTCTGTATAATAAAAATATATATTTTTAAATATATATATATATATATATATATATATATGTATATATATTTATATATGTAAAAGCCATTCTTGGTTTGCAGACCATTTAAAAGCAAGTGATATCTCAATAGTGTGTCCAAGAAAGGCCCTTTTTAGTAGTGTTGGAGCTAGGAAGAAGAAGAAAAACAACGCCGAAACCGGTTTGGCTCAGTGGTAGAGCATCGATCTGCGGACTGAAGGAACCCAGGTTCGATTCCGGTCAGGGGCATGTACGTTGGTTGCGGGCACATCCCCGGTGGGGGGGGTGCAGGGGGCAGCTGGTCGGTGTTTCTCTCATCGACGTTTCTAGCTATCTCTCTCCCTTCCTCTCTGTAAAAAATCAATAAAAAATATTTTTTTTAAAAAGAAGAAAAACAACAATCTTATTTTTTTTAAATATATTTTATTGATTTTGTACAGAGAGGAAGGGAGAGAGATAGAGAGTTAGAAACATCGATGAGAGAGAGTCATCAATCAGCTGCCTCTTGCACACCCCCTACCGGGCATATGCCTGCAACCAAGGTACATGCCCGTGACCGAAATTGAACCCGGGACCCTTTAGTCCCCAAGCCGACGCTCTATCCATTGAGCCAAACCGGTTTCGGCGAAAAACAACAATCTTAGAAGGTATGAATGAGAGGTTTCCAGGCAGAGAGAGTAACAAAATGCAAATACTCTGAAGTAACAGAAGAGTCTGAAGAGTGGAAGGGCTAAAGCATATAAAGCCGTGTTTTCAATTTATTTTTTAATATATTTTTATTGACTTCAGAGAGGAAGGAAGAGGGAGAGGGATGCAAACATTCATGATAGAGAATCATGGATCGGCTGCCTCCTGCAAGTCCCCCACTGGGGTTCAAGCCCACAACCTGAGCATGAGCCCTTAACCGGAATTAAACCTGGAACCTTTCAGTCCGCAGGCCAACGCTCTGTCTAGGGAGCCAAACCAGCGAGGGCTGTTTTCAAACTTTTTAAAACACTATTTACAATCAACAATATATTTTACATCATGAACAAGTCTCTACTTAAATACTTATAAAACAAAATTTAATGAAACTGTTAAGATCACTATACACATTTTTAAATATATATATTTTATTGATTTTTTACATAGAGGAAGGGAGAGGGATAGAGAGCTAGAAACATCGATGAGAGAGAGACATCGATCAGCTGCCTCTTGCATACCCCCTACCAGGGATGTGCTTGCAACCAGGATACATGTCCTTGACCGGAATCGAACCCGAGACCTTTCAGTCCGCAGGCCAATGCTCCATCAACTGAACCAAACTGGTTTCAGCACTATACACATTTTTTCCTGACACTTTTCAGACTTTTTTTTCACTGAATGCTGATTGCAAACAAATAAAATGACTTCATGACCTACTAATGAGTTGGGACCCACAGTTTGAAAAGCCCTAGAGTGGCATTTGTGCCTCTGTTCCAGGATGGGGCCCTCGGAAGCCATGTCACGTGCAATGACCTCTCTCTGTGGCCCCTTTAAACATTTGTCTGGAGCAAGGTCAGCAGATGACATTCAGCCAGACTGCTTGTTTTTGTAAAAATTTGATTGGAACACACACCACCACTCATATTCATATTATAGGAGGACAGCAGATGATAAATGAGGTCAGAGCAGAAGGTAGAAGCCAGCTCATCTAGGTCATGGCAAAAGCATTTGGCTTTTATTCTGGCTTCTCTTTGCCTTCTGTTCCTTCCCTCAGGTATTCCAACTAACTTCTGACCAAGGGGAGTTTCAGGGTAGGAAGCCAGAAAGCCAGCATGTTCATGGTCAGTGTGATAGGTCGGAAGAGCATGATTGCACACACGAGCCCGGCTTGTATCCTGGAGAGCCCCCGTCTGGGCGGGGAATGTCCACACGTGACACAGTTAGCACAGTGTGAGGAGAACCACGACGTGGGAGAGGAGAGTTCAGAACAGCAGTGACTAGCTGGGCCTGAGGATTTTAGAAGACTTCTCAGAGAGGTGCCATTCAATCACACTTTTTCAGTTACAGTTGACATACAATATTATATTAATTTCAGGTGTACAATAGTGATCAGACATATTAATTTGCTTCTTAAAGGATATGTCTCGGCCAAGAAATTGAGAAAGGCACATCACATGTAGCAGTTATTTGTCAAATGAGTGATGGACCTTGTAGGTAGAAGCACAGACTGGGAAGTAAGCATTGTTTTGTGTGTATGTGTGTTTTTTAATATGTTTTATTGATTTTTTACAGAGAGGAAGGGAGTAAGAGGGATAGGTAGTCAGAAACATCGATGAGAGAAACATCTATCAGTTGCCTTCTACACACCCCCTACTGGGGATGTGCCCGCAACCAAGGTACATGCCCTTGATCGGAATCGAACCCGGGACCTCTCAGTCCGCAGGCAGACGCTCTATCCGCTGAGCCAAACCGGTTTGGGCTAAGTGTTGTTTTTTTATCAAATTGGCTGGCATGATGTGAAGAGTGTAGTTTGGTTGGGAGCTCAGAAAGGCAGGTTGAGGCCACAGTAAGCATTTCAGATGTGATCAGGACGTGGGTGGTTCTGGATTGGAGTGGCCAGTGGGCTGCAGGAGAGGTGGGACTGCTCAGGTGGCTTTGACACACAGGGCAGTGGCTCCATCTTGTGGCAGTTGGGATGGGGCAGTGGGTGAAATTTGAGAGGATCCTGGATCGTAGGACCCTGGATGGTAGGACCCTGGATCGTAGGAAGTGGAGCAGAGGACCCTGGATCGTAGGAAGTGGAGCAGAGGCAGGAGCTGAGAGGTGAATAAGGAAAGAGTGGCGGAAGTTAGCCAGGGAGTCAGAGACCAGGGTTCAAGTTCAGCCCCACACTTCACTCTTAACCTCAGTGACCTCATCCGGAAAGTGGAGGTGAGGCCCTCACCTTCCTTTGGATGGTTTGAAGACAAGGGGGGCTGGGGGCGGTGAATGCAAGGTGCCTGGTCAGGGGCTGGCAGGAGGAAGTGCTTGACAAGTGTTGCCATGGAGGAGCCGGCAGGACGTGTGTGTGGAAGTCAGTTGTAAAGGACTTTGTAAGACGTTGTAGAATCTGTGGGCTCCCGAATAGCACATGCTCCAGCTGGAGAGTCCGCTTCCCTGCAGCCCTTCCACAGAGTCGAGGTTATACCTCTGGGGTGGACAGGAACCCTCCCCACTGACCAGCTCTCCCCCTCACAGACTCGGATGCCACTGCGTCTTCGGATAACAGTGAGACCGAGGGGACACCCAAGTTGTCGGACACGCCAGCCCCCAAGAGGTGAGAAGAAGCCATCATTCTCTGGGGGTGGGGTGGGGGCACCTGGGCCTCCTAGCTCCTTCTGACCCCCTCCCTGTCCTTTCTCCAGGAAAAGAAGCCCTCCGATGGGGGGTGCCCCCTCTCCCTCCAGCCTCTCTCTGCCTCCTTCAACAGGGTTTCCCCTTCAGGCCTCCGGGGCCCCCTCCCCATACCTGAGCTCGGTGAGTTGGGCTCAGGGATGGGAAATGCTAACTGAGATGCCTGGGAAGAAGGTGGGATCATCTGGGGAGAGGGGCCGGGCCTCGGGGTGACACTGGCCCAGCTCTGGGACATCCCTTGGAGGGTGTGAGTCCTGGCTGCCTGGTTCTCGCTGGTAGGAATGGGGGGCAGAGATGACTGAGGAGAGCAGACCCCAGGACAAAGTCCTGCTGCTGTCCCATCCCCTTCTGCTCTCAGAAGCCACACTCATCATCATCTCTTGTTTTTCCATTCTTCTTCCTGTTTGCATTTTTTCCCTTCACCCCCCACCCATCCATTCCATTTCCCATCTCCATCCCCCACTTCCACCTGCAGCTGGCTTCTCCCCCCTACCCCCCATTCCCTTCTGACTACCTGGCCCTGCAGCTGCCCGAGCCCAGCCCCCTGAGGCCCAAGCGGGAGAAACGGCCCCGCCTGCCCCGGAAACTCAAGGTACCAGCTCGGGGAGTTAGGGAGGGGCCAGAACGGCAGCAGGAGAGCCACTGAGGGAGGCTCCGGACAGAGGCTGGGGGCCTGTTCAAGAATTTGAAGGACTTATTGGGGGCTGCTAGGGGCCCAACCCACGGCCAAGTACTGAGAGATGTGGACCAGAGAAATCCTGGCTCCAGGCTCGCTGTGGAGACAAATTGGGGGGAGGACCAGCCTTGGGGGACTCGGGTAAAGATGCTAGGGTCCTGCCCTTAGTCTGCTGTGGTGACTGGGGCCAGGCCTCTGTGATGCCCGGCAGCCCGGAGGGAGGGAGGGGTTGTGGGATCTAGAATCCATCAGGGCTGCACCCCTTGAAACCATGGGACCTTGAGCAAGTCTCAGACTCCAAGTCTCAGACTCTGTGTCTGAAAGTGAGCAATCAGAATACACGTAATCAACAAGTGTTACCGAGTGGCCGCTGCACACCGGGCACTGCTCTAGGCGCTGCAGGTGAAGTGGTGAACAAAGCACAAACCTCTGCCTGCAGGAGCTTGTATTTTAGCAAAATAGGCAGAAAATAAAATAAATAGGTCTCCGTGCAGAGCAATGGAGTCAGGTGAAGAGGATGGGAAGCAGCAGACTAGATGGGCACTCATGTGGTCTGGGATGGTATTTGGCAGAGACTTCACCGAAATGAGAGCAAGCCATGCGGCTCTCTGGCAAAGTGTTTCAGTCAGAAGACTAACCAGTGCAGAGGCCCTGAGGTGGCAGAGTGTGTGCATATTTGGCTGTTCAAGCCCCAGGAAGGAGTAGTGTGATCAGATGCAAGCGAGAGGGAGAGAATGATCAGGGAGCAGGTCAGGGAAATAGCGGGTAAAATTGTGTAAGGCCTTGTAGGTGTGTAAAGGCTGTGAATGAATAGGGAGTCTTTGGAGAGATTGGGCAGAGGAGAATCTGATCTGATTTACATGGTAACAAGATTGCTGGCACTGCTGTGTGGAGAATAGATTGGTGGGGGGGTGGGATAGGGAGAGAATCTAGTCAGGATGGAACTGGGGAGACCAGTGCGGAGGCCGCTGCAGTGAACCAGACAGCAGTGGGGAGGGTCTATTGCAGAGAATGAGCCACGGGAAGACAGAGTGGCTGTGAGAAAGAAGCCAGGGCGGGAGAGACGCGGAGTTTGGTTTTGGACGTGTTGAGACGCTGTCTGGAAATGCCAGCAAGACAACTGGGTGGTGAGCATGGGCTCACGGGGTGACGCCCGGAAAGCATCAGCATGGAAGTGGATGCGGCCAGTGAGCTGTGGGGGAGGAGAGGAGAGGCCTGCGCACTGAGCTCGGGAGACGTGGCACAGGAGGCGGCGCCCAGCGCTGTCGGAGTGGAGGAGGCGCAGGCTGGAGCTAAGGGGCGGACATTCGGGAGAGAGAGGCCCGGGTCAGTGGCTGTGCTTGGGGAAGGCCCCAAAGAAGAGGTAGCCCTGAGCCCAGGGTAAGAGAGATTGGGTATTACAGGCTGAGGCGCTGGTGGAAGGAAGACAGAGGACATGGCCACGGGTTGTTTGGGCAAGAGCAGGAGGGATGAGAGGAACAGTGTTGGGAAAAACTAGGATTGGGGGTTGCAGGGGGGGAGTCATAGAAGGCCTGAGGCCCAGAGTCTGGCGGGTCCGAGAAGGGGCTGGCTTCTGAGGGACGTGGTGTGAGGAGGGAAAGCAGGCCAGTTGAGAGCCTGGGCTTCAGTCAGACTCGGCTGGGTTTGAATCCCAGCTCCTCCCTGTGACCTTGGGCATGTCATTGACCTCTCCGAGCTTCAGCTTCTCATGAGGTCATTGGGTCACTGTCAGTTAAGTGCCTGGTCCCTGGTAAGCCACAGGTAAACGGTAGCCGCTGCTGGTCCCTGAGGAGGCCGCTGAGGGAGTCTAAGCAGGGTGCGGAAGTGGGAACTGAGCTGGGCCAGGAGCAGTGGCCAGAGGAGGGGACAGTCCCCTCCTCAGGCCACTGTGTTTTCCAGCCATTTGTGGTCCGCTCCTATGTGCGCACATGGGAGCCTGGTACTGGACACAGGGTGCTTGGCCTCCTGTCACCAGTCCTGGCGGTCACTGTACCCTGAGGTGCTGACCCCAATTAAAAACCCGCTCTGGCCCTCCACAGCGGGGAGGGCAGGCCGTGAGGCTGAAGGGGTTAAACAGTTAGAAGGGCCACTGTGAAGGCCACATGTAAGCATTCGCTGCCCAGAGCCAGGCGGGCACTGCCGTGGGGCCCTGGCAGCCTGTTTTCTCCTCTGGGCCGTGACCTCCTCCCTTGCAGGTGACCAGAATGGTCAGAGCGCATTCATGGGAGTCACTGTGAGCATGTGCTCAGCATGTGCTCAGCATGTGCTCAGCATGTGCTCAGCATGTGCTCAGCATGTGCTCAGGCGAGGCGTGAGGGCCCCGGAGCTCTGGGGAAGCTGTAAGGACCTAGCAGGATGGCTGGCGGGTTGGGCAGGACGAGGCCGCTTCCCAGCCTCAGAGGACACAGAGGACTTTTGACAAATAGAGAGGACACTGCAGGTGGAAGGACCGCTCGCCCGTCTCAGGCACGCAGCCTGCCCGTCCCGCGGGCAGCAAGGAGCCTGCGGCCGCCCTGGAGGAGTGACACCCGCAGGTTTGTGTTTTAGAGAGCTCACTCTGGCTGCAGTGCGGAGGAGGAGCTGGAGCTGGGAGAGGCTGGAGGCAGGGAGTCCAGTTAGGAGGCTGGTTCCGTAGCCCAGGTGAGCTGAGAGGAGGGCCTGGCCTGGGCCAGTGGCTGCGGGATCCCACGGAGGGGCCGTCCCAGCTATGAGGCCTCACGTAGCGGGGTGCAGACCTAGGCCACCCCTCCCACCGAACCAGCGAGCCCCCTTAGGAGGAGAGGCCGGTGGGGGCCGGTGGAATCCGGTGCCTCGAGGCAGGCAGGCAGGTCCAGGCTGTGCTGCTGTCCCTCACAGGGGCTGCCCGGGTGCCTCCTGCTGAGGCCGGGCCCAGCCTTTCCCTCCTGGTTTCCTGTAAGCCCCACCCGCCCTCATCACTGCCTCCATCACTGCCACCCCCTACCCCCAGGCACCTGCTAGTTTGAGACTGAAGTGGCTACTGGTAGGGCAGGCCCCAGATTCCAGCATGGCTGGCCTGGCTGCGTCCAGTACCCCTTGAATGAGCCTCTGCCCCTCCCCACCCCCAGAACTGCCTCCTGGAGGCCCCGTTCCTTCCTGACGGCCGCCCTGTGTTTCTTCCCCCCTGCTGCAGATGGCGGTGGGACCCCCGGACTGCCCTGTGGGAGGGCCGCTGACCTTTCCCAGCCGGGGTTCTGGGGCTGGGGTGGGGGCAGCCCTGGCCCCACTGCCGCCCCCTAAGATGCCCCCCCCCACGATCCTGAGCGCAGTCCCTCGGCAGATGTTCAGCGATGCAGGCAGCGGGGACGATGCCCTGGATGGAGACGATGACCTGGTGATCGACATCCCGGAGTGACCCTGCTGCCCGAGCCCCTGTCCGCCCTGTGCCAGCACACGGCCCCAGCTTCCACAGAGACATTTATTGACGCCCAGTGCCATGCGCGGCCAGACACGATCAGAACAGGCGTAAACATGCACACATGTCCCCTGGAAGGAGGGCCCTCGCCAGGGAGGGCGGGAGCCGCCTCACTCCCAGCCCGGCCCGGGGTCAGGGATGGGGTGAGTGGCTGGAACACCTGCACCCGGGAGGCCGAGTCCCCGCGGGCCTCCCTCCCGCCTAAAAGGGCAGCTGTACAGGGCTAGACGTTGTTAACGAAGGTTCTGTATTAAAGGAGTGGCTCTTTTTTGCTTTTTGTCCTTTTTTGGAAACGTCTCCTCTTTCAAACCCCCCCTAATCCGACCTCCCCCCTGTGCGGAGGGGCTGGGCAGCTGGAGAGGCGGGGAGAAGCAGCAGCTGGGCCTGGCGGCCTGGCAGGACGCCCCCTGCCGGGGTGTGCAGGACGGGGGTTTGCATATCTGCACGTGGTAGCGAGTCAGGCAGGAGGAAGTTTGCATATGTGAGAACAGGTCTCCACAGTCCCCACAGGAAGACAGACCACAGTCACAGTCTCACGACATAAGACAGGTAGTGCAGGGCGGGGCATCCACCCCTGTAAACGTGCAACACACTCGTGCGAAGGTTGGGTCCGGCCCAGCCCGAGGCCCTGAGCGGGGCAGCTGCTGGCCTCGCTCAGGCTGAGGGCAGAGCGCCCGCTGCCGGGGGCAGCTCGCTGGTCAGGGTGTGCCAGCGCTCCAGGGCCGTGTCCGGCTGCTGCAGGCAGTCATTCCAGTGCTTCCGGGCCTCTCCCCGGGCACCAGCCCCCAGGGACACGCCGCCTGCGGAGCAGGAGAGGCAAAATCGGGGCCCTGCTCACCGCCACTCGCCCTCCCTCCCTCCCTCGGCACCACCCAGCGGGCTCCTCCCTCACCAATGAAGTCGTTGGATTTGCCAATGTCATAGTCCCAGACGGTGACTTCCAGAGTCTTGGTGGCCAGAGCTGAGAGTTCCATCTCATAGAAAAACTCCTGGGACAGGGCAAGCCACACCTTCCGTGAGGCATTGCCCGCCCCCCTACCTGCCCGCCCCCCCTTGTTGATGTCTGGTCCCTTCCCCATTTACCTCATTAAACTCTGGGTTGAGAGTCTTCTTCTTCACGCCTGTTTTGTGCTTGGATTTCTTATCCACATCTGGCCTCAGGTACCTGCCAAGGTGGTGGGGCAGGAGCAGAGGAGCAGGGTGGTCAGGGATAGGTCGGGGAAGGACAGGGCAGAGGTCAGGCTCCCGGGGGAGGGGGGGGGCTCGGCAGGGGGAGGGCTCACGTCTTGACGTAGGGGTCAGAGTAGCCATTGACGTCCATGGCGGCCAGGTGGGCACAGCGCAGGATGCCCACCAGCAGCCCCCGGCGCGGAGAACTGTAGCTGAGGCTCAGCAGGATGCGCCCTCGCTCCTCCAGCAGCCCAGGCCCCTGCTCCGCCTGCTCCAGCTGGGGGCAGACACGGGTCAGCCTGCACCCTCACCTCCTCCCGCCCGGACGGGTCCCCAGGAGGTGCCTCACCTCCTTCAGGTAACAGGATATGCCCCTCAGCGCTGCCGACATGGAAGAGGGTGACGCCAGCTGAGGGCAGAGAGAAGGTTCTGGAAACCTGGCCTCCCAGGACCCCCTCCCCTCAGCGCTCGACAGCCCCATACGGACCGGGACCTGGCGCTCGAGGCAGATATTAAAATGCTTCTTCTGCGAAGGCTTGAGGCGGCGGAGGGGGACTCGGATCTCCCCGATGAACTCGTTGTGGCTCAGCTTGTCCTCATCGCACACGGAGATCCTGCAGGGAAACTGAGGTCAGTGCCCCTGGCTCCTGGGCCCCACTCCAGGGAGCCTGGGCACCAGAGCGGGGCCTGCTCTGCCTCCAGTACTCCACACCTCATCTGTACAGTGGGCTGGCCCCTGTTCCTCTCCCCTCCCTCCACACTGCCCGGACTGTCCCTGACCCATCAGGATCTGCTCAGCGACTTCCGGAAGCCTTCACCAGTCTTGGGGACCCTCCCGACCCCTGCCTTGGCCTGTGGACAGGGTCCTGCTGGGTGTGCGTGGGGTGTGCACTGGTGGGCGTGGTCACCAGTTCCGGATGTGAGAGGAGCCTGGGCAGCTGGACAAGGCAGCCCTCCCGGAGCTCCTGTCCTGGTCCGCATGGAGCGGGAGCCGGCTGGGAGAGACAGACCAGAGATAATCGGTGTTTTCACTTCTGTTGTCTCCTCCCTCAGCCCCTGCATTTCCTTCTGCTGTGACACGGGTAGCTGTCATGTAGGAATGGTCATTCCCAGCTCTGCCACTTACTAGCAGCCGCATGAGTCTGGGCAAGTCAGCCTCCTGACGTCTCAGTTCTCATCTGTAAAACGAAGCTGATACTCACCCACCTCCCAAAGCCACTACAAGGTCAAGTGGAATGAAGAAACGTAAACAGGCACGGCCCAGGCTGGATGCCACGGGGCAGCCAGAGCGATGTCATCCTCATTCTCTAGCATCTGAAATATGGGCCTGCCTTTCTGGTCCTGCCTCTGCCCTCCCTCCAGTCACCTCACACACAGCATCAAGGTGATCTCTCCCAAACACAGCCCTCCCAGCCGGCGGGGCTCAGTGTGAGCATCAACCTCTGAACCAGGAGGTCCCGGTTCAATTCCCGTCAGGGCGCATGCCCGGGTTGTGGGCTTCATCTCCAGCAGGGGGCGTGCAGGAGGCAGCCAATCAATTATTCATTCTCATTCCCTCTCTCTCTCTCTCTCTCTCTCTCTCTCTCTCTCTCTCTCTCTCATTGATATTTCTATCCCTCTCTTTTCTCTCTGAAGTAAATAAAAATTATAAATTGATAAACACCTAAAAAAAATTTTTTTTTAATAAAAACACAGCCCTTGACTATGCCCCTGCCCTGATGCAAACTCTGTCATGACTCCCTATTGCCCAAGAATAAAGGAAAGTTCTAGAAGCCTGGGTTTGCTGCCCTTCATTCCCTGTCAGGGACTGCTCTCCCCATAACACCTCGGCGGTGACTGGGCAAGTTTCCTGTCCCTTAGGACTTCACTCCTTAGAGGTGTAGGGGGCAGAGCAACAGGATGGCAGACCTCCTGCACAGGCCTGGCCTGACGGGACCAGGGAGCGCGCTCAGGGGAGGCAGGGCCTCGGAGGAGTGGAGGTTAGGGTTGCGGGAAGAGAAGCCGGAAGCAGGGAGCACTCTCCCGGCAGAAGAGGCCACAGGGGAAGGATAAGAGTAATGGCGGGGGTCAGAGAGGGCAGTGCTGGAGGCAGCAGGAGGCATTTGGGGTGGCCTGCTGCCAAAGGGGATGGGGCGCCTCTGGTTGTACCTGAGCAGCTGAGAGGGGCTTGGTGGGAAGTAAACCAGCCGCGGAAGGTTCCAGTGCCATCCTGGGGGGGGGGGGGGGGGTGCGGAGCCGGAACCTTTGGGAGCAGGAGGGGCCTCACCTGAGCACCTTGTGGCTGATGTCCTCGTCCGTGATGCCGCTGTAGGTCAGGTCCTCGTTCCACACGGGGTTCAGAGTGTTCCTCTGCGTCTTGGTTTTCAGCTTATTGGCCTGCGGTGGGGCGAAGGGTCCTCAGTGCATGTCCCCTGGACCCGCAGGCTGAAGCGGGGGGAGGCTGGGGACAGACCCCGAGGCTGTGTCACCCGGGGGGCTGCTATTACCTTGCAGGCTCCGGGCAGCAGGTGCACCTTGACGTAGGGGTCGGCCAGGCCATTGAAATCCATGGGCTTGAGGCCCTGGCGAGGAGGGGAGGACGGAGCAGTGAGCTCCCTGCCCTCCCTCAGCAGAGTGGGTCCTTGGGGTGTGGAGAGCCAGCCGGGGAGAAGGGGACTTGGGTGGGGGTGTGGGGAGGGGAGCAGGGGTGTGGCCTGGAGTGGGGGTGGGCAGGCAAACAGGGCTGAGCTCGGGAGGGGGCCTGCCCACCTTGGCCCTGAGGATACTACAGTGCAGCGTGCAGGCGGCCTGGTCGTAGAGAAGGTCGAACTCCAGCGTGCCCAGCGTGGCTGGCGGAGAGAACGGTGAGTCCGCGCGGAGGCAGGTGTGTGAGCGCGGCGGCATGGCGGCCGGCTGTGTGTGGCAGGGAAGGTGCGTGCGTGTCAGCCTGCCAGCCTGTGTTGGGTTCCTGGTTCGGCTGCAACTGGGCTGTGTGGGTGGTTGTCTCAGGAGAAATATTGAATATTGAGCCTTGCTGAAGCTGTAATCGCCACACTGACTGCAGCTGTAGTGGCTGCGCCCACTGCTTCCCCCACATACACCCCGGGGGGGCCCATCCCCTTCCCACAGGCCCCGGGCCCCCAGGACCCCCCTGCGCCCTTGGAGCCCCCAGACTCACTGGCATCGTCCGAGTCGTAGCTGTCCACCTCGGCCCCGTCCTCGGGCGTGGTGGCCCCGAGGAAGGCTGCAGGGGGGGCCAGGGCCAGGGGGGCCAGCCGGGGAGGAGCCTCCGCGAAGCCCCCTCCGCCCCCGCCCCCTTCAGGCCCCGGCCCCCGGCGGGGGAAGTAGTCGGAGATCTGGCGGATGGGCCGGATGGGCCCGGGGCACACGTTGATGGCCATGTGCTCCTGGATGTTGATGGTCATGCGATCGCCCCTGCGGCCCCTCATGCAGCGCCGTGTCTGGGGGAGGGAGGGTGCAGCTGAGCCCCGTCCTGTACCTGTGGCTGCTGCTGCGGGCCAGCAGCGCCTCCCGGCGTGGCCCCTCTCGGGTGTGGAGGGAGGCCAGCTGGGCCCTGGCTCCACAGGCGGCTGCTAATGCCTCCCCCAAAGTCCGGGCCCCCCTCAGCCTTGACCACTCACCGCGGCCGCTTTGTCATCTTCCAGCTCCTGCCCCTCATTCCTGGCTTCCATCTGCCCCTGGGCCTGCCGCTCCCCGGAGCCACCCCTGGTCCCCTCTGTCTCCGGGCTCTGCCCATCCCTCTGCAGCGGCGCTGGTCCAGCCCGAGGTCACCCACCCGTCCGGGCATTCACTTCCCCCCGCGCTCAGCCCGGGGCAGCCTCCTGCCCGCCCCCGCCCGCAGCCCCGGCCGGGCCCCTCCTCGGACGCCTCCTCCCAGATGGGCTCCAGGGGCGCCAGCACCTGCAGCCTGAGCGGGCCGCCCCCGCCCCCACCCCACCCGCAGCACCGCACACCGCACCCCGGCCCGGCCCCGGCCCCGGCCCCGCACCTGTGTCTGCGCCTCCAACAGGTGCCGGCGCCGGGGACGGCGGAGCAGGCCGGCGGCGGCTCGGGGCCGCAGGGAGAGCGGAGTCGGCTGTGCAGCGGCGGGCGGAGAGCCGGGGAGTGCGGGCGGAGGGCGCGGGGAGGCGGGAGCTGCGGGCGCCGGCGGGGGGGGGGGGGCGGGGAGCGGCGGGCCGGGCGCACTCGGGAGGCACACGCGTGCACACCAGTCACGAGCACGCAGGCCGGCCCCGCATCCCGCACAGGCACCCCCACACGCGTGCCCACGTGCGCGCTTACACAAGCCAGACCCGGGCGCTGCACACCCACCGGGAAACTTCGCGCGCACCCGCACTCACACCCGCACACACACGGGCTCCCGGCGCGGGGTTCCCCAGCTCCCCACGACGCCGCCCACTGCGGCCCGCGCTGAGCCCCGGCGCCCGCGCCTTCCCCCTCCGGAGTCTCCGGACCCGCCGCCCGCCTGGTTGCCATGGCGACGCGGGCTCTCTCCGGGTCCCCGCAGCATCCTCAGCCCCTCCCGCCTGGCCCTCCGGCCCGCAGCCGTGGGGGCGGGGCTGCGGGCCGGGCTGGGAGCCGCAGTGACCCCGGCTCCCGCAGGCGGGGAGTCTGAGCCGCCCGCGGCCCTGGCCTGGGCCTGGGGTCCCGCGCCCCCCGGGGCTTTCCGTCCGCGGAGGAGACGGTCCGGGCTGTGGTCTCCCGCTTCCTCGCCGGGCGGTTCAGTGTCTGCGGTGACCCAGCCACCCCAGGGCGGGTCCCTCTCCCAGGGGGGCGTCCCCTTGGGAAACGCGCCGCCCGCGCCGGCCTCCACCCGGCCAGCCCCATGCGCAGGGGCCCGGGCTCGCTCCGCACCCAGGAGAGCCGAAGCCTGTCCTCGCCGGTGCCTTTCCCCGGACCCTGCCACCTGCCGGCCTCCCGCCAGCTCTTCTTCTGCGCTCTCTGCCCCACGCCGCCTCCCCCAAAGCCGAAGTCCTCCCAGGGCGTCCCCCGCCCTTCAGCCCAAGACCCCGACTTCTCCATCTCACCGCGGCTCCTCTCAGCTCAGGAAGGTTGCGCGCAGTTTCTAGAACACCCGGCTCTCTGGACCCACCCGGACCTGGACCCGTAGGAGCCTCTGCTGGAGGGCTGCCCTCCCTCCGGGGGCCATTCCGACCTCTCGCTTCCTGGGAGCCCTCCGGACACCCCCTCTGCCCGGGGGCCTGTGCCGCCCAGGCTGGCCCTGGGACTCCGCGTGTCCTGCCTGCTTACATTTGTCACCCCCCTCCCCCAACTAAGTTGCTGGGCCGGCCACTGAGTTGGCCTCGCTAAATGTGATTTAAAAGAGAAATGTGGCTGCACAGCAATGTGAACTGTCTGCTTGAAAATGGTTAAGAGCTGAAACCGGTTTGGCTCAGCGGATAGAGCATCAGCCTGCAGACTGAAAGGTCCCAGGTTCGATTCCGGTCAAGGGCATGTTCTTGGTTGCGGGCACATCCCCAGTAGGGGGTGTGCAGGAGGCAGCTGATTGATGATTCTCTCTCATCGATGTTTCTAACTCTCTGTCCCTCTCCCTTCCTCTCTGTAAAAAATCAATAAAATATATTTAAAAAAGAAAAAAGAAAATGGTTAAGGTGTCCTGTGATGTGTCCTTAGTCGGTTTGGCTCAGTGGCTAGCACTTTGCCCTGTGGGCCAGAGGGTCCGGGTTCGATTCCAGTCAAGGTTGGTTGCAGGCTTCTCCCTGGCCCCCATGCAGGAGGCAGCCAATCAATGTGTTTCTCTCACACCAATACCTCTCTCTCCCATTCTCCCCAAAAACCAATGGAAAAATACACTCGGGTGAGGATTAACAACAACAAAAAGATCTATTGTGATGTGTGTTTTTAAACACGAAATTTTTAAAGAGAGAGAAAAACAGTCAAACTAGAGAGACAGCACTTGTCATCTACCAAATCATGAAATTCAAAGCATCGGTTAGCACACGATGTCAATGAGGCCGTGGGTAACCGAGCAGCGCCTGTGTGGAGGCCAGTCTGATGGTGGCACCAACAGGACCCAGACACAGACTATTTGACCCAGAAATGCCACTTCTAGGATTTTGTCATATATATGCATGCTGGTCCCATGAGCAAAATAATAGAAATTGAAGGTCATTGGCAATGGCAAAGGATTTGGAACAACCTAAATGTCCATGATAAGAGGACCCGTTCAGTCCGTTATGACACAGTTTCACGCAATGAAATACATGCAGCCACGGCAAAGAAAGAGGCCCTTTCTGTGCTTGTACGGAATCCCCCTCCAGCCTCAGGTTAACTGGGAAAAGGTACAGGACAGCACGCGGGGAATGCTTCCAGCTGAGGGGGTATATGTGTTTGTTATTTGTGCGTAAATTACCTCTAGGAGGTACAGGAAAGGGGTAGCTGTGGCGCCCTCTGAGGAGGCAGCTGCGAGGCAGGGCAAGGCCAGAACAGGAGTTATTTCCAACATATTATATATCCGTTATGCCTTTTGAGTTTTGCACCATGTGCATATGTTTCCTATTCAAATGCATTAAAAGAACATATTTCCAAGTAAAGGCAGCCATTGGGCTTCCTCAGGGCTCTCTGGATAGGAAAGGAGCCGGGCTAAGGGAGATGCCACCATCCGGGGCCAGAGCCGGTGGGCCCTGCGGGGGGCAGAGCTGAGCCTGCAGTGAGGGGCGGCGGGGCCAGCTGGGCCAGGGCCTCAGAGCCCGGATCCCTCCGCCACCGCGTCTTCTCCAGGGCTCAGTGCAGGCCCGGCCGAGAGCCCTGTCGAAGGGCTGAGCCCTGATCTGTCAAGAGGTGGAAAGGCTTTTCATCTATCCATTAAGTGAATAACACTTATCGAATGCCTCCTGTTTATTAATGTGCTGTGACTATGGCCGGGATCAATCGTCTCTGGCTTCACAGCCTTGGAGAGAGGCAGACAGCGCACAGACCAGGCCTGCCTGAGACCGGGGCGGTGACAGGACGGCCACGGTGTGGGAGCTCAGTGAACGTCCCCGGGGAAGTGCTGTCCCAGCCCCGGCCTGGAAGATGGGAAGGAGGTCGCCCAGGCGTGGAGCTAGAGTGCCCAGGCAGAGGCTTGTGCCAAGGCTGCAGGGTGCCCAGGAAGGGGAGCCTGGAAAGATCCGAAGAGGGTGGGTGGACAGGGCTGGGCACGTCTCCAAGGCCAGGGGAGTTCAGAATCCACACGGGAGCCACGGGAGCCACGGGAGGGCTCACACATCTGGAGGATATGTGTTCCCGGTTGTTCTCCGGAGGAAGAGTGAACAGAGGGAAGTCACCAGCGCACAGGCTGTAGCCATGAGCTGGGAGAGACGTGCAGTTGGCTTCAATGAGGGGGCGGGACTTCCCGGGGGGAGGAAGTGGGTGGGTTTGAGGTTTAGGTTGGAAATCAAGCCAACAGGTCTTGATCATGGGCTTGTCAGAAGAGAGGCAGGGAGGGATCTGAGATGACCCCTGGGCTTTTGTGCTGAGCAGAGTGTCTGGAGGAACCCTGGGACCCTGGCCGCCGAGGAGAGCAGCAGCAAGTTTGGGGTAGGAGAATTGATCGGAGGTGCTTGGGGACCCACAGGCGCATGAACAGGAAATCGGGCAGAGGAATCTGGGGCTCCGAGGAGAGGGCTGGGCTGGAAATATACATCTGTGAGTCACCGGCATATAGATGGTATTTAAAGCCTCGAGGCTGGATGAGATCACCTAGGGGACAGGGTATAGATAGCAAGGAGAAGGTCCAAGACTGAGTGGGCTAGAGAACAAGGAGTCCCGCACAGCAGTGAGCGTGGCCGGGGCGGGGAGGCAGGTTCAGGATGCTGAGCGGCAGGCAGGATGGATGGGAGAAGTAACCATCAGATGTGGCAAGTTCTGAGGTCACTGGTGGAATTGGTGAAAGTGGTTTCGGTGGAGTGGTGGGGCAAAGAAAGGCTGGAAGGCGTTGACAGATCCATCCAACGTGAAGGAGTAGAGACAGCTAGGAGAGCTCAGGTGCTCTCTGTGCTCCAATCCTGAGTTCTCTCCCCTGCGCGCCCTGCAGGCAGACGGGGGGCCTGTCATGTCATCTAAGCCGCAATGGAGCCCAGCACACGGGAGGAGCTCGATGCCTGAATTTAATCGCTGGATGAGTGAACGAATGGATAATTCACTGCTTGAGTCGAAAGGGCCTTTTCGGGGAGAGAGGGCAGCTGTGGTCTTTTGAGGCAGTTGAGGAAACTGCAAAATCCACTCCCAAAGCTGAGGGCTCTGAGCCCCTTTCCTCCCCGTTAAACCCCAGGAGCAGCTGCACATGGGGCCAGGGCCTGGCCCAGCGCCAGGAACCAGGTTGAGTCCCTGCTGCCCCTTACGTGCCTGTGACTGGGTCACTCTCTCTGTCTTAGAAGAGATAAGTGTAGGGAGAAGAGGCCCACGTGAGCCGGCCCTACAGGAGGCCCCCAAGGTGTTAGTTTCCCTCCTCTGTCCCCCTTTTCTCTCTGGGCTTTTTATTATTATTATTATTATTATTATTATTATTATTTAGGAAGCAGAACATGGCAAGTGCCTCTTTGTGCTCCAGCGAGGAGAATGAGTGGGCAGTCCATGAGGGCAGGAGAGGTGCGGGTGGGGACCCAGTGCAGGAGGGAGCAGGCCTCACACATGAGCAGGCATCTGTGTGATAAAACCAAGGAGACGCTGAAGTGTCCTTGGGCTTGGGTAGGGCGGGACATATCTGTGACAGACAGTCCCCACCTGCCAATCAGAGGGGAGCTAACTCTTGGAAGCAGACGAGGGCTTGGCAGAGTGAAGGTGGCTGCTGGGAAGTAACGAATAAAAGAAGGTTGGGGACAAGAAAGGGGAAATGGGATGGCCCTTGAGGGAGACCACACAGAGAGGGGAGCCCCCAAAAGCTCTGTGCATGACTGAGAGCTGCCTCGGGGAGATGGTCCCATGCCTGTCATTCCCCCTGCAGTGCCTTCTCCTGAAGCATCTGAGCAACTTGTGGGAAGCGGCGGTGAAGGGCCTGGAGCTTGGGAGGTGTCTTCCAGGAGCAGAGGGAAAGCTGGCAGGCAGGCGCGGACAATGCTGCCACCTAGTGGGGATCTCC